TGATTTTCCGACTCTCGGGATTTTTAATTGCAGCTGCTGGGTTTGTTACTGTTCATTTCCAAATGGTGAGATGGTGTTCGAAAAGTCAACGCTGTGAAGAGATTTTTTATTGTAATGCATGCGATGAAGTTTTAAATTTTTTTACCATTCGAAATGGAGAATTTTTTACTGGAAGATATTATTTGGTTTTCAGGGCCTGAATTTATGTATAGGTGAACTCTCAACAGCGATTTTTTATATGTAACGATTTTTTTTGGTCCATAGGGTTCACAGGATATTTTTCACAGGATATTGGGGTTCTCTTTACAGCTGAGTTCCCCAACTTATGGTCCACGGACCGACGCAGGTCTGCAGATGTTGTTTTGCCAGTGCACAGGAAATTTTTTTCAGCATAATACGTTTTTCAAATGTAGCAATAAAGTTCATTATGTTTATCTGAAAGTTTGGCAGTTGGAAGTATCTGCTGAAAAAAAAATTTGGCTTTTCTCTTAATAATACTTCAGAAAAATTTTCAACTGCTGAAATGAATTATTGTAATTTTTCATTCTGGAAAACCTTCCAGGCCCACCCTTATAATTTTTTGAAGACATTCCACTACAGCTGCTTCATTGCTTCTTAATTTAATTTTTGCAAGCAATAAAAACTTTTTAAATACCTGCCAAGCAAAATGTTTTTGAGTCTGCAAACATTTTATGAAACTTTGCCAGTCTGCAAAAAATTGTTTGGAAATATGCTGTCCTGTGGTCCTAAAAAGGTTGGGGAACTTTGTTCTACAGCAAAATTATCTCTACAACAAATGTGTTTTGTTGTAAAGGGAGTCCAACTGTTGTGCACCCAAATTTGATAAGCTTCTGGGTTTCTATAATCTCCTGAGCATAGGTATGTAATTAGGATGAAATTATTATTTATTAATAAGAACAAATTTCCCCCTCTTACTGGTATAGTTAGTACCAAGAAGGTGAATTTTTATTTGTACATAATTCAAATTTTCTGGACGCCTTAGATTTTCTCAAGCTTGTCCAAAATGTGAAGTGCTATAGGTTTTTATTTATTTTATTTTACTCATCGGCCGGCAGGGGACGCTGTGGCTCATGACCAGAATCAGGATGAATGGAGAGATCACCAAGAAGTTGAAGCTTTATCCGGAGAAAGTGAAGATAGTGAGTTCGATTGCAGCCCTCTTTTGGAGTCCGATATGTATTTTCTGGTTGTACCCGTTTATGGAGAAAGTCAAGATTATGCATAAACCCGTTCAGAAAATGAAGGCAGGATTGTGTTTGATGATACTTTGTGGCTGCTACGCGACTGTGCTGGAAAGAGCTGTCAGAGTGAGGAAAAAATGTTTTTCTAACCTTTTACGAATTTTAATGTCATGTTGATTGAATGGAATGCAATGGACCCCTCCGGTGATGTACAGTAATTTTTGGTTGAAATACGTTTGCTGCTGGATGAAAAAATCCCCTGATTAGGAAATCATTTTCTTAAAGGGTTCCTAACCTTTCAGAGCCCGCGGATGGCAAATGAAAATAAAATTGCGGGCGGGAAAATTCTTAAATTTTTGCAGATCCAAAAACTTGAAAAAAACAATGGCAGGTATTCGAAAATTTTCTGCTTTTATGACAAAATTAAGTCAAGAACCAATATAGAAGCTATGGTGGAATGTCTTCAAAAAATTAGAAAGCTGGGTGCGTTGAGCTTGAAGAAAGCCTTGTCAGAATGAAAAATTGAGATAATTTATTCCAACATGTGGAAATTTGTTTGAAGTATCATTAGAAGGAAAGCCAACTTTCATTTTTTCATCAGAGAATTTCAACTGCCATATGTCTTCCCAAAATTTTAGATACGGTAACAGAGTTCATTGCTACTTTTGATAAATTCACAATGCTAAAGAAAATTCCTGCGGACCCAGAAAATACTTCTGTGATAAAACGCCGGTCCGCGGACCAGAGTTTGGGGAACCCCGATTTAGAGTGCCTTATTGGTGATTTTTTTTTACACGATCGCGTGCATTTCAACTCGTGGGATTTTGGCTGCATCCTTTGTTCTCTGCGGAAATAATCATTCCATGGCACTTGCAACCATGGAATCATTTATCATTTGTAAGGAAATTGAATGAAGGGATGTTAATAGCTTTAAAACATTCAAAGAGATTAAATGGCCCACCTCAATTGCTTACAAGTAAGCTGGTTACAGTTATCTACAAGTTATCTCTTTCATTTATTTGTTACTGTAACTTATTGCTACCAATAAGATACAATTTGACTCTCTCCACAATGATCTTGCCTGCAACAATTTTCTCTGTATGGCATTTTTTTTCCTGGGCCCCTTTGTTACAGGGGTTTTTACCATGCAGCAAATGTTTTCCTGGTCTCTTAGATTCTTTTTTTAGAGATTCATTCACCTATATTGCAATTTAAAAAAACTTTGTTTAGCCACCCTGCATACGAGTTCAGCTCTAAGTCATTCTGTTGCCAACTGGAATTTCCTTTCTGCGCAGTTTCCTTTTTAAATGTGTCAAAATAGGTACTGTACGTAACAAGCAATCCAAATCAATGACACTGTGCTCTGACCTCTTTTGAATCAAGTCTATTTAAATAGAAGTGTTATTGTGCAAATAACTTCTTGCCTGCTGAAATTTATTGAGAAACCTTGTCATCAACACTACTTATTGCTCACGTGAACACAGATGAACCTTAATTATTTATGTCATGAAGGTGTTGTCTACGCACTTCTTAGCGGGTTTAAAAGTTAAACAAAACTACTTTACTACTTCTTTTAATTTTTTCACTTTATGAAAATACTTATTTCAAAGATTTGATTATTAACATCTTCTAAAAATATACTGATTTTACTGAAGTATAAGCCAAAAATTTGAAGTACAGTATAAAGGTAATTTTAGTTTAATATTCTTTTTCTGGAACGAATTAATTTTTTTATGATGTAACCCTAAGGAAAATAGGGTTTCAACTTACGACAGCCCCATGTTACGTTGTCCTTACTGGAACGGATTGATGACGTAAGATGGGGGCCCACTGTACTGTAGTTACTTGAGAGCTCCTCAATGTATCCCCAGAACTTGCCAGAACACTTCAAATCTTTGAGTTTACTGAGCTGTAAAGAAATAAGCAGCTAATGAGACTCTGGGAAACTTACTTGTAAGCAATTGAGGTGGACCATTTAATCTCTTTGAATGTTATAGCAGGGCTATTAACATCCCTTTTTCTCAATTGAGGACAGATTGTCCCCCATCTTGAGGTAATTGTGTGATGGTTCAGATGTTGTGACACTCATTTGGGGTAACAAAGGATATTTCAGCACATGCACTAAAAACTTTTTACAGTCAATTAATGATTCTAGCGAACATTGTTGCTGAAATGATTAATTATTTTTTGCTTTCAGAATTATCCATACTGGAGCAGATGATTTGACAGTTTTTCTGATGCCCGTTCAGAGCAGCAGAGGACGCAAAAAGAGGCTGAAATTTTCCCTCTCATCCGGCGAATCATCCTCGGGATTCTCCCTCGCTTCATCTATCGTACCGTTGAGCATATTCAAGTTTTTTAACCAGCAGTGCTGAAATATTTTTCAACAATTTCCTCGTATATTTAGTGCATCTGATGGAAAAGACAGACTGATCTGAACAGCATAAAAACTATAAGCATTTAATTCAGCCAACGTTTGCTTCTGTAAAGGAGAACCTCCTGTGGAAATTGAGTAAAGTATTTGGTGCTGTTACATTAGGTGACCAACCCTATTATAAATATGAGAAGCTTTGAAGTGAACTATATGTTTTATTATTATATGATCTATCTGAAGAAATGTGGCTTTATTCTTGGGAAATTATATTTGGAGTAAAAACAATCGAATTCAAACTTAAAGTGAAATGGGTTCATTATAAAAGAGGGCCTCTGGCTCCACTTCCATATTGTTCATCAGTCCCTTCTGTGCTGATAGTTTTTAATGTTGGATAGCATTAGGTTGCTATGACCAATTTTTTACTGACATTTTACATAAATATTACACTTCATTTGAATTTGTTTATGAGTAAATTAAGTCAGTTATATTACATGATGTTACCTTAAGTTAGTTTTGCGATTTTGGAGACTGTTGGTCAAACCAAAATGAATTAGCGTACAAAAAATCTGACATAACCTTGAAATATGTAATAATATGCCTCAATATTTAAAATGACTGACTTTGTTAGTCTTTTTTATTGTTACGTATCAATGTTTTTTCCTAAACTAGGTATGAAGTCTATATTGATTCAGTTCAGACGGCAAGCGTGCAATTCAACAAGTTTTCGAATTCTTTGGTGGTTTTTGATGAAGAGGTTAGTTCAGCTACACATAATGTCTTTATTGTACACCGCGGTTCATTACTTTTGTACTTTTTTTTCAGTCAACGAAACAATTCATGAAGGTTGCGAGTGACCCACCAGACGGTTACAGCGTACTTTGGGAGTTTCCTCTGCTGTTTCTACATGCTTTGGCTGAAATCTTGTTCTTGGTTTCCATGGATCAGTTCTTGTACAGCGAGGTACAGTATTATGTTCTTGAATTTTATTTTTTCCGATTGTAATTTATAAATTTTGGGTGAAGAGTAAACAATGAAATGTGGTTTTGGGTTTATGAAAGATAGATAGCGTCGAACGTTGGTCCATTTTCATAAATTAATGGCCGCAGTCAGCCGCATACCACAACAGCACTGGTAGATAAAAAAAGATTTGTCAGATTTTATCGTTTGTCTCATTTGATGTCTGCTGATTTTTTTTTCTCAATTGCAGAGCCCCTCCAATTTTAAGGCTGTTATGATCGGGATGAATCTCTGCTCCCTTGCATTCGGCTCCATTTTCGTTTTGGCTGTGACGTTGATTGACATTTTTTCAGAGCTGGTATGTTTGTGTTAGCTGATAGAATGAGAATTTAACAAGCGTTTGAATATTCACAAAAATCAGAAATACGGCAAACAACTTTTTTTTGCAATGCTAGATTGACGACACTTCTTTCTTTCAACCCTGTAGCCTGTGTCTGGATTTTTTTTAAACATCAGAATTTCCTGCACTTGAGCTTGTCCTTATTGTTTCAGTGGCATACGATGCTTTTCTTCTCATTGCTGCTCAGTGGATTCACAATCGGATTTTTCAAATGCGCACCTCTTTCTATAACTGGAATAAATGCTTGACTGTTAAGAACATATGAGATGAGCTTGTCCGCAGGAACCTATGGAAGGTTCCTTATCCGGAAAAGGAGTGTATTTTTTTTAACCAGAATTACGCGTTTATCGATCTTCCAACAAATGGATGTCAAATCGGAAGAAGAGAAGAGCCCTGAAAAGCTTCCACCGGAAACTGAAGAAGGCGCAGATGATGCCAAACAAAATGGAAAGGAAAATGCGTCATCGTCGGGGGTAATTACAATTATGAATATCTTCACTTTGATGGTGTGAATTCACGAATTTTTTTTTTTTTTTTTGCAGAAATATCCAGTGCAAGTATTCATCATCCTGTTCATGGAAGTGCTGGTCATCTACTCGTGGTATGGAATGAAAGGTGCGATTTTTGTTGAAAATCATTCGAAGCAACGAAAATAAATTATCCAGCTAATGGATAAATCAATAAATTTGTGACCATAATCAATTTTGGCCTTGATAGATGCCTAACCGTGTTAATAATCATATAAATGTCTATCCTAAATTGATAAAAACCCCCCTTGGGGAAAACCTAGCACAAATCGTTAAATATTGTACCTCACGCAATAAATACTTGATTTTAAACATGTATGCCTAACCTGAAAAATAGCTAACCTTGGAAATAACTTTAGCCAGCAAATAAATACCTTATACCCAAAAATATCTTGAGGGTATAATAATTACCTCTTACAGTTCCTAATAAATGTCTTATACAGTTCCTAATAAATGTCTTATACAGTTCCTAATAAATGTCTTATACAGTTCCTATTAAATGTCTTATACAGTTCCTAGTAAATGTCTTATACAGTTCCTAATAAATGTCTTATACAGTTCCTAATAAATCTGATAAATATCTCATACCTATATACCTAAGAAATATCTTATAACTATTGCCTAAGACATATCTTATACCTATCACCCAAAAAGTATCTTATAATGTACCTAATACCTAATGAATACCTTATAAAAAATAACTATACTTAATGAATATTAAACCTAAGAAATACCTGAGGTAATGATTGCCTAACCCAATAAATTTTTTTCGAATTCAATCTAAAGACTAAAACCTTCAGCAAGAAAAAATCAGACAATTTTTTTCACTTTTTGATGCATTCTCTCTTGAAAAACCATGCTAGCGTTGCTGCTGTATGTGCTGAATAAAAATCAGCTGAAAAACATTAAAAATTCGGAGACTTTCAGTTGTTCTCCATGATTATTTGGAGCTTGAAAGAGGATTCAACAAGAACGTCGCCACAGCAATTTACCATGCCTTTGCTTTGGTCAGCTATTTCCTGACCCTGGCCGGAGGGATTCTGGCTGACAGCTACTGGGGAAGATACAAGTTGGTTTTTATTTTGTCTAGTAAATTGACACCAATTTATGTTATTTTTTTCTGTGGGATCATTCCAGGACCATTGTTTTATCAGGAATCTTGTACATCATTGGGCACCTCATATTGTCCGCATCTGATTTCCCTGGGCTCAACAATTTCGCGAGGTTTTTCAATTGAAATCATGCATCTCTTTTTGTGATTCGCGTTCTTTGATTGAAAATGTATATTTTCAGGACATTGACAATAGTGGGACTAGTGGTGATTTCTCTGGCCGCTGGAGGAGTGAAGGCCAATGTGTCCTCTTTAGGAGCTGAGCAGTTCAAGTTGCCTGAGCAGCAGCGCCATCTGGATAAGTTTTTCTCTGTCTTCTACTTCACAGTCAACTTTGGTGCCATCATTGCCCAAACATCGGCGCCGTTGCTCAAGTCTAAAATACATTGCTTTGGAGCCACCACTTGCTATGCTGCTGCACTCGGGGTTGCTGCTCTGTTTGCCATCTTCACCCTAAGTGAGTATCTTATTCCTTCTTTCAAATGAAAGGCTTAAAACTCAATAGACTTGACGTGATTAAATTTCAGTGAAATTTGTTTCATTAATTAGCTATTCATTGATTAACGGTTCATTAAATAGTATTTCAATCATAAACGTTCCATGAAAAAGCATTTCATTAACGTGCATATCACAAAATAACCTTTCATTAAATGATATATCACAAAATGACATATAATTGAATATTGAACATGATCATTAGAAATTAACCCAATGACTCGGTTAATTTGAAAAATTAAAATCTTGAGAATACCGGAGACTCTCTTTAATTCGATGTTTCGATGTTCGCTAGTTTTATTCGGCCACTGATAACCTTATAGAATAACTTTCATTCCAGTTGTATTTTTGGCTGGAACACCGTTGTACATCAGAGTCCCGTGCTCGGAAAACATCTTCTGGAAATTCGTCAAGTGTGTGTTCGTAAGTTTTATCTATGTCGATTGACTCGTACATTCAATTCGTGAATCAGTTCACTGAAATATCGGAAATCCTCTCTAAATTCGTCACATTTTTGCTTTTATTTTTTCAATCTGATAAAAACGTTAATTTATATCATCGTAATACAGTTGAACCTCTCCAAATCGATTTTTCAAACAAAATTTTTTCTGGACTTTTCATGTACAAGATTTTCTTCCTTAGGATAAATTAATTGATGGAAATTCATTGCCTGGTCGAATTATAAATATTGTTCATTATGTTCATTATTCATTGTGTCCTACCCATACAAGAATAAGATATCATCCCATTCCTTGTGAATAGCATGAAGAAAATCATTTGCATCTTTTTGGTTTTTCTAAAATTTATTCATAATTGAATAACAAATATGCCTTAAAAGTACTGCAAGGCCTTCAAAATATGGTAAGACTGCATTATTATTTTCAATTCCTTATAAGTAGTACAGTCAAACCTCAGTTGAATTTCAAGGGACCAGCAAAAAAAATTGACTTGAAGAGGTTTTGAGTTATGTAGAATTATAGATGTTTGACTTATGGAATCAAGCATTTTTATGGTGTGAGCCATTGAAGAATTGCAGTAATTGTACATTGTGATATTCTGAGCCTTAAGTTGCTTCTAAAATGATTTGACAGGGCACTCAACTTGGAGACAGGGGTTCATTTGCCCAAATTAATCTGTCACATCCTTCCAAAGCATATCAAATTCCATTTTCTTGCTTTTTTTTCTTTCCTGTTCCAATAAAATAATAGCCTGCTTAAGGCCTCAGAAATTTGACTTTGGGAGGTTTGACTTAGCAAGGTTCAACTGAATTACAGCTACGCTGTACTTGAAATTATTTTCAAGATATTGCAGTATAACTTACATCAGGATACTGATGAAACTTTAGTAGAATAAATCTTTAAAAATGGCCATGTGGAGCAAGAAGAAAACTACAGTATTGGAAAAGGATTCATGAGACAGTTTATGATGCTAATATCTTGTAAGCTTGGATTCAAGATTTTCGCTCTGACATATTTTAAAATGTTGGGTCAAAGTTTATCCTGTGCATACAAATGTAGGCAGCAGCAAAGAATCGGATGGTTGCAGTTGACAAAAACTTTTACCCTCACTGGATGGACTTTGCCTTAAGAAGTGACTACACTGAGGAATTCATCACAGATTGCAAAGCAGTGCTCAACATGCTGCTGCTTGCTCTTCCATTACCAGTGTTCTGGTCTCTGTATGATCAAACTGTGTGAGTAAACTTGATCTAACTGCACATGTTGGAAGTGGGATGAGCAAGGTCCAGACTCTGTTGTGGCTATATTTAGGGTTCCAGGTGGCTCATCATGGGACAAAGGATGAATGGCACCATTTCAGAGAACATTACTTTGGAGCCTACGCAGCTGCAAGTTTTGAATCCCATTTTGGTGTTTAGTCTCATTCCAGTCCTGGCATATGTTGTTTACCCACTGTGTGACAGGCTCAAGCTCTTTGCCACACACTTGCAAAAAATGTCCCTGGGCTTAATTCTGATGGTCATCTCCTTTCTTGTGACAACCATCATAGAGGCCAGAGTTTATGTAAGTCTTTACCCTGCAATGCAATAATGTCCACCCTCCTCAGTTGGATTTGTCATAGTTATACTGAACTACCATAAATGCATAAGTGGGGAGCTATTTTTGCTTTGACCCCACAGTAGGTGCACTCCAGGGTCACAACTGGAGCATATGGGATATTCTGGGGGTACAAGAGTGCACTCCTGGAGAGGAAATTTTGCTACCATTCCATGGTTACACTTGGTGCACAAATGTGAAATAACAGGCGGAGCATCACACAAATGCACCAACTGTAACCTTGGTGTAACTTATTTGTTACAAATGTGACCCTGAGTAATCCTGGTGTGAGCACATGATTGGTGCACATTGGGGATATGCATGTGCAACAGAAGAACTTTGGTATACACTTCAGGTGCACAGCAGGGTCACCGTTAAGAATTACAAACAAATCCCCAATGTGCACCAATTTCTCCACTTGGGTGATAAATACAGTGAAGCCCAGAGATGCTGATGTAATTAGTGCATCAAGAGTGTCCTGATGTCGGAATGCCCATAAGTCAAGTCTCATTTTCCTGTAGACTTCAATGCTTATGTATTTATTTGGTTTTCTTTTTTGTCAAAAATTAAGTAATTTCTCAGAAAGGTTTTATAAAAACTTTTCCCCTCAACTGCAAGTTATAGAAAAAAACAGTGCAGAACAAAACCACATAGAACCTGATCTTTCGGAATCAGAAGGATATCAAAATGCAAAGAAAAAGAATAAGTCTTGCTGTATTATGCAAAAATTATAGAAAAAACTCAGAAAAAAAGAAGCCCAGAATCAGCTTGCTTTTGATTATGAATTAGAGTGAATTTATCGTAAAATATGTTTTTCAATTTTTGTGAATATAAATAGCTTGATTTGTTCAAAAGACATTAAAAGAAAAAAATTGATTTTTTGGAAAATTTCAGAAAGTGTCCCTAACTTGAGCCAATGTCCTGATGTTGGGTCTGATTTTGTTTTTAATTTCAAGTTTCCCTAAGTAAATTTGACTGTACTTATGGTTGTCTGCATATTATTGGGGTCTCACTGTACCTCTTTAGTCCACTAATCTCAATCTTCATCATGTCCAACATCTGACATCTGTCCAACACCTGGCTTCATTGTTTCAACGAAATTTTACTTCATGACTAACAGAATATTTGAAAAACCTTTGTGTTTTTTCCACCAGAGATTTCATAACAAAATCTACTGTCTGCTGAAAATGTTTGCGAGCATTTATTCTTTATCACTAAACAGTTTATTATTTTCGCCTGAATTTCATTGAAATTGTTTTGACTTGATATACTTGATTTATAGGCAACTGATCCTTGGCTGCCGACGTCGGAAACATCAGGCTACGTTCTTGTGAACACCTTGAATGAAAAAGTGCCAATTTTTGTGCCCATTGGGGACGCCATGAACCAGTTGGAACTGCCACCGCGTGGAGTACTGCGTATTGATGAATTGGAAGCTGGGAAACCATACCCCCTTTCTACCTCTCCAGGTGGGCCAGCATTTGTGACTCATGCTGGGATTGGTGGACAGGTATACTCAGCTTCTTAAATCTTGGGGTATATATTAAGTCAAAAACAGGATTTGAAGTGTAAATTGAGTTGCATCAGTGCTGTTCACCTTACGAGGGTTCTAACAAAAGTTCTCGGAGTAGCAATGAAAATGGCCTACAGTTGACCTGAAACAAATTTTTTCTTCAGGGAAAACATATTCTTTGGCACTTGAAAAAAATAAAGGCTGTGAAGTGGCGGCTGTGAAGGCGGCTTTTGATGAAAATGGCGGAAAACGGAAGTTTCTAGACCTCCGTTGGGAATCTTTATTACAGTTCAACTAAAATTTTTAAGACTCCCCGTTCGACCCGATGTTGTTTTTTCCCGCGTAGTAGAAAACTCACCTCTCGTTTTCAGACGGGGATTGAATTATGAAAATTTTTTTTTTTTAAATTGGTCAAACAGGGCTGATATTTTTTTGTGTGCCAACGAATATGTTTTCCCTGAAGAAATAATTTGTTTCAGGTCAACTGCTGTAGGCCATTTTCATTGCTACTCCAAGAACTTTTGTTAGAACCCTTGTACATGTGGCCCAGGGCCGTATTAAACATTTTTGGTGGGGCCACATTGTAGAGGTGGAGAGTCCGTGCAGGCCACAATAGACAACTCATTCAAAGTGTTCCCGTTTAAAATAAAAAAAAGTTTCAAATTTAATTCACTGCTATATATGCATTGAATAACGAGCATAGTCTTGAAAAGTTCTCAAAGGATAAGGTAATACAGTATTTTTAATTTTTAATTCATCTCTCAATCCTGCTCACAATATTTTGAATAATGGCGTCTGCCTACTTGAAAATTATTATTATTATGAATGGACTGTGGGACAGACAAAGAGTCTCTGTTGGCTGTATGTTGGGCTCTTGGGCATCACTGATGTACTGTACATTATAGTACATGGCACTGCAAAAAGGAGTGAGGGTCGTTGTTGAGGTTTATGCAATGAGTCAGGTTGGAAAATAGCTGATGAGGGAAGATACTTGGCAGCTGAGGACATTTATTTGTTTAATCTTAATTCTCAAATCTTGTCTCGCAGCCTGAAACCGTTTTGACCATTTTAATTGACCAAAATTTAACTCATGAGGCAATGGTTATTCAGCTAATCCAGTTTGTAAACATTATTCCCAAAGTTATTTTCTGTAAATTGGGGGATCTTGGACTGGTCCTCAAATCTCAGAAACCTAAAATTCTAACTAAAATTTGTGACAGATATTAAAAGTGTGGGTTTTGATGGAAAATCTTGATGTAATGCAGGTTGATTTCTGTCTATTCAAAAACTTCCCAAATTCAAAATTTCCAGATGATCCCTGCCTTATTCCTTGGTCTTCAGTGCTATTTAATCCTCTCTAACTCCAACATTTTGTTGTAAAATTAGCCTCTCATATAGTTAAATTTTCAAGGACTTCTTTTCAAAATTGTGGCTACATTTCAGAAAAATTAATTTACGCACATTGTTTACATTTTATTCTAATCCAAAGGGATTGGACATCTTCCTGTGGGTTTGGATTCTACACATGATGAAAAGTTATGAACATTTGTGTGGCCAGAAAATAATTTCGTATTCAAATGAACCCAATTTTTTTAAACCTCAAACACGTACCAAAAGAATTTTGCAGTTCTTCAAATTTGACTTGGAGAGGTTCAACTTTATAACATAGTCAGTCATCAATTCATTCACATAAATCCAATACTGTAGATATTTTTCATTGTGTTTTAGTTAATATAATTATTAAGATATCTGGACTTCTTATGAAGTTTTTGCAATCAATTATTATAGGCAGAAATCATCCAAATTTAAATACGTATGCAAAGTTAAAATTAAGCCATGAGATGATCTGGACTTCGTTTTTGCAATATATTTTATATATTTCAATAGTGTCAAACAGCTGTTGTCCAAGGGTCAGCTGGAAACCCCACTGTGACTCCCATCCCTGGTCCTGATCTGGTGGAGAGAGCTGCCAAGTACTGCGATGTGAGGTGACCAAGTGACCATTTAAACTAAATTATACATGATAACTTATGTGTGTATTGAATTATGTGACAAATTAATTTTGCAGAGTGATCAGTCCCAATGCGGAAGCAGCAAAAGTTGAGCTGATTAGTGGCGGAAAGCCGGAATTCACGCTGGAAGTTCCTGCAGGTTCAATTGCGAGTCCTTATCTGAATGGCGTGCCAATTGAAAGGTGATTTTTCATTTATTCCAAAAATAATGCGGAATCTCGTTGCAAATTATCTGTATACAAAGAATATTATTGCTTTTATATATACTGTAGTTCCCTAGCCAATTGAATTTCTTTGAAATTTTTTTTCAAATAATAAAAAAAGTTTTTTCTGGCGGTTTTTGCCAATGATGGTCTTTGTTGTGACGAGAGATTTAACTATTTTTTTTTAATGCTTTGGATTTTTATTATTTTTTAATCCCCGACAGATACGACGTGAAGATCAATGGAAACAATGCTGGGGCTCGAAGATTTGACATGGGATCCGTTAGTTCTATTCTTCTGAATCCAGATATGGTATGACCTGAAAAAATCCACCCTATATATTTGCTTTAAGGAAGTCATGTTTATCTACATGTTACTTGTTGAATTTGCATGGAGGAATTCTAAGCGTGCTGCCAAATAATGTAAAAAAAAACTTTTGGATAATTAAAAGAAAATACAAATATACTCAATGTGCATGTATCCTCTCATATACAGTACTTTAATTTTCTCAGACCTAAAAACATATATCTTTCACTGCAATTTTTGTTGCTGCTATTTTCATGTATAATTGGTGCTGAATTATGTGAGGGTTATTGCTTTATTTGATAACTAGATTGTTCATTTGTATGTTAGTACATTAAGTCATGTATGCGCTGCATTTAAAGAGAACCCATGAATTACATCATATATGTGAGGATTGAGGAGAGTAAATTTTTTTTATTCTACTAGGATGCATATCTATTAAGATTCCTCAGAAACATGAAAATGGAAGGAATAAATTTCAATTCAGGGGCTATACGCACCTAAGCCTCTGCTGAGCCACCCATATTTTACATTTTAATTTGACTTCCTTGAATGTGGAATGAAAGGCGTGAGTTGAAGTTTAAATGCCTTCCAATGTCTGCATTATTCTGACTGTAGAGATCCTTTGATGTGGTGCAAACAACTACTGGAGGCCAAGTACACTTACTTTGGCAGGTCATCATGTATGTGCTTGTGACCCTGTCGGAATTGTTGGTATCACCAATTGGAATGCAGCTTTTCTATGAAGAGGTTTTTCATCAGCTATCAGCAATGCTTCTTTATCGAAGATTTGACATGGGATCCGTTAGTTCTATTCTTCTGAATCCAGATATGGTATGACCTGAAAAAATCCACCCTATATATTTGCTTTAAGGAAGTCATGTTTATCTACATGTTACTTGTTGAATTAGCATCATGAAGGAATTCCAAGTCATGCCAAATGTAAACAAAAACTTTTGGATAATTAAAAGAAAATACTGTACAAAGATACTTATGTACATATGCTCTCATATACAGTACTTTAATTTTCTCAGACCTAAAAACATATATCTTTCACAGCAATTTTTGTTGTTGCTATTTTCATGTATAATTGGTGCTGAATTATGTGAGGGTTATTGCTTTATTTGATAACTATAGATTGTTCATTTGTATTTTAGTACATTAAGTCATATATATGCGCTACATTAAAAGATAACACATGAATTACATTGTATATGTGAGGATTGAGGAGAATAGATTCTGTACTAGGATGCATATTAAGATTCCTCAGAAACATGAAAATGGAAGGAATAAATTTCAATTCAGGGGCTACCTATAAGCTTCTGAGCCACCCATATTGTAATTTCTAATTTAATTTCCTTGAATGTGGAATGAAAGGCGTGAGTTTAAGTTTAAATGCCTTTCAATGTCTGCATTATTTTTACTGTAGAGATCCTTTGATGTGGTGCAAACAACTACTGGAGGGGTTCATGTGAATGAAACCGTCCAGTAGTACATACACGAACACTGGGACAGCCTTAACAACCATAGTGGTTAACCTTACGTCGAAAAGATACTTCTCCAAAAAGTAGTCGATAGTCGTTACGAAGAAATGTCTGAATAATGATTTACTGAAAATTTCATTTCCCAGGCACCTCCAACCATGAAATCTGTCATGGCTGGTATTTGGCTTTCTACAACTGGAATTGGAAACCTCATTACATCGTTAATTGCTGCAACCAGTGCATTTGCTATTCTGGTAAAAACGTGTTTCGTAAATTTCAGGAATTTTTAGAATTTTTATATTTATGATTTATTTTCAGTGGTGGGAGATGCTGTTCTACACCATTTTGATGCTGATAGTTCTTGTGGTGTTCGTTGCCATCGCACACTTTTACGTTTATTACAAATACAGAGCTCAAAAAATTGAAGCTGATGAAAATGTGGACGGAAACATGAGCAATAATCCAGTTAGAAGGTTTTCTGAAGGAGCAGCATCTGTCAGATCAGCGCAGTAAAATGCAAGATGATGATGGATTCTCGTGTGATAGCAAGCGCTGTATGTTTCTTTGTAACCTTATTTTTGTTATCTAATCGAAGATTATTAATACAGTAGCACAGCTAGTGCACATCTAGTTGTGTTAAGANACACCATTTTGATGCTGATAGTTCTTGTGGTGTTCGTTGCCATCGCACACTTTTACGTTTATTACAAATACAGAGCTCAAAAAATTGAAGCTGATGAAAATGTGGACGGAAACATGAGCAATAATCCAGTTAGAAGGTTTTCTGAAGGAGCAGCATCTGTCAGATCAGCGCAGTAAAATGCAAGATGATGATGGATTCTCGTGTGATAGCAAGCGCTGTATGTTTCTTTGTAACCTTATTTTTGTTATCTAATCGAAGATTATTAATACAGTAGCACAGCTAGTGCACATCTAGTTGTGTTAAGAAAACTAAACACTTTGTCAGTTTTCTATATGCTGCTATATGACATTGAAATGCATGCTGCTGGACAGAGTTTGATTTTCATTTATCTCATTATCATGCGCCCACAAATTTGCAGCTTGAAATCAGGATAAACGAAGTCATAGTACTTCAGATGAATGAGGTATTGTACTTTACTGGACAAACAATCCTCTCATTCAGGGCAGCAATACCTACACTGACCTTTCGCTGTTGCGTATACTGTACTAACTTCCTACTGCAGAAGAGTACCAAAATTCAGTACTGCAATGAAGGCAAATAAGCAATTCCTGTTGTCATTTGTGGTGGATGGACCAAAATTGCATATTCAGTGTCATTCCACTGATGAGTTCTATGCCTTGGAATCCATACTGGTTTCCTTGCATAGCAACTGGGAATGATCGTTGTGAGTTCAACCACCCTAAGTGAGTGTGCGCTTTGTTCGCATTCTAACATCTGATGGCGCAGTTCAAAGCGTGTTGCCGCGGGAGAGAGTCGGATGTAAGAGGAGTGAAAGTCGAACAATTCATGCACCTTTCAACAATTTCGCATTTAGGATTTTACCGCATTTTCGAGAATTATTGTGGCTTTATGATAATGTAAGGGGTTGCTTGTTCCGTCGCGATAATTTTAGGATGCCCTGCTGGACTGCGATCCTTCGATCTCCTGATTAGACTATGGCATGAGAATCTGGTTCAACGTTGCCCCTTCGGATTTTCGGTTTCTCTCTGGTGAGAAAGTAGTGGTAAACACTTAACTGCAATTCATTCCTTGTAAAGTTACCGCTTGATTTTCTGGAAAGCCTGTTAATCGACGATGGAAGCTTTTGTTTTCGTGCGTATTCGCTGAAGAGTTCGCACATCGTTGATCGGAAATGAGTCGACCCGTTACTGACAATGATGATTCGCGTTGATCGCTCCTTCGAAAAGTGATCGTGAGAAGATGTTTTGGAAGTGTTGGGAAAACGTTCGCGATTTGATTGGATGCTCATATGCAGACAAGTCGTTCTCTCTCCGATTTAGACATTGATTGGCGCGTCGTCGATTATTCAACTGTACCGCCGCGAAGCAGTCACGATGTTGAAGGCATTCACGAAGCATCAAGTTCTGTGTGCGTTTAATCTTCCGAAGTATGATGCGTCTTCTAGAATTCTGGTACGTTTTGTTTACGTATGCTAATGAAGGAATAATTTCGCATCGCACGGTATTTTTATCAGGGTGCACGATCTGGACTGAAACTGTACGGAAACTCTGTCTGTGCGTTGCTCTGCACGAGGGGTGCTCATGGTTTCATCGATTCTTTTCGGGTATGTATTGGTGTAACCGTGTCAGGAGGAAAGTACCATTACCTAAATCACCGATGCGCCAGTATCAATTTAGTTGCCTCTTGAAAACTGCTGTTTCTTTTAAAGTTGTGGGGTTTGAGGTTTATTCAAGAAATGGACGTGCTTCTTAACAATGCGTCGAATATTCCAAACAAATGCTGGATTTCCAATTGATCTCCCGTGCTCAAGTTTTTTAAATGAAAGATAATTTTCAAAAAAAGAATGGGCGATGGCTTCTCAGGTTTTTGTCTGTGTACCTTTCACGGATGTGACGTTTTAGCTATGTGGGACGATCTGTATTAGTTTTTCGCAATTGTAGGCGAATCAGTTGAGAAATTACTGTCTGCATGCTCCTGTTATTATCACGTTCTGGTTTTTCCTCGTTACCCGCAGTATGCGGACATCGAAATTCAAGGGGCCCGTCCGGATCAGCTTCGCCCGAAGCCCGACCCGGAGAAGCTTTTGTTCGGTAAGCATTTTACTGATCACATGCTCTCCGTTGAATATTCCAAGGAACTCAACGGCTGGGGTCGACCTCGAATTACACCCGTTGCGCCGTTGCAGATCCATCCCGGTGCTAAAGTGCTACATTATGCGACAGAGGTGAGTTTCTTGTCTATTTTACTAATTCTTCGCTGACTCGCATGAGCTATGTTGAAAAGAATCCTTTCCGGGATTGAAAGCCTCGTCTAAATTTCCGCGTTGATTTAGACTTATTCCCAGATGAAAATTGTAAGCGTATGTCTGGACTGAGGTCATTGTCCTGAACGCGTAAACAGTACTTGAATTAAATTTTGAAATCCTCGGAACTAATAAACTTTTTACTGGATGAATCCAGAATGCAATGTTTTCAGTGTGCGAAAAATTCTTTTATGCGGGGTCTAGCCGGTAGACCAAGAATTTCATGAAATTCATTAAAGTACTGTACAGTATTTTGACGAACAGCTGCCGAAAAAAATTAGCCTCCAATTGCTTTTGAGTGACGGTGAACTCACAGAAAATACGGGACTGCATTATGAGATCCTCTTCATTAACTTCTGAAAATCACGCTTCGGAATGTTTTCTTCGATTCTCAATTGGAAACGGGAAATTTTTAAAATTCTGGTCAGATCACGTTTTGAATTTAAATCCTGTAAACGAAACTTGTTTAATGAAAGATCACTTAATTGAGTGTGTGTTTAAATTTGTTGACAAATTTATGAACTAGCATTTGCAGTTAATTCAACTTGAGACGCTGTTGATTTCAAAGCGTCCCTTGATTTCTTTTTGGGGCGGAATTTCAAGGGATATTATGTCCGACTCGAATCCAGTTGTATAACTTGCAGGTGGGTTGTCTTGTTTTTCTGACCGTTTTCAATTCATTATCTTAATCTTCCTGCTCTTGATTCGAAAATATCTCAAGACCATTTTATGACAGTTTCATTTGCTGCAGTGATTCTATCCTTGAAGAAAAATCATCAAAGACTCCTCATGAAAAGCGACGGTTTCTCAGGAATTATTTATTCACGTTACATTTCAGCGATCACGACTGTTTTTAATGTTTGGGGAATGGTAAATTCATTTGTTTCTTTGCTTGGCGGCTGAAATGTAGTTGTTTGAGGGAATGAAGGCTTATCGTGGGATTGACCACAAGATCAGGATATTTCGTCCCGACAAAAATATGGCTCGTATGAATGCAACAGCGAAACGCGCCGGCCTTCCAACGTTTGACGGAGTCGAGCTCATCAACTGTATCCGGAAGCTCATCAAAGTTGACCAGGAATGGGTTCCACACAGCGACTCGTCTGCGCTTTACATTCGTCCTACTCTCATCGGAACTGAGGTAATTTTTTTCAAGTTTAATTTTGAAGGGGAAATAAGTTAGTCAACCGTCTCAACGAAAATACGAACTCCCTCTTTTTTTTTAAACCGCAAGGTGCCATAGGAATTTCGAGTTTGGGGAAACAAGCGTTTTTATTTTGGTAAAGACCAAATATTTTCAGAAAATTGTAATTGATGGTATTTTGGCTCGTGAACGAGTTTTCAGGATCCTGAACTTGGAGGCGAGGGTTCATTTGCCCAATTAATCTTTCACTTCCTTTTAAAAAGCATCAACTTGCATTTTTATTGCTTTTCTCTTTCCTGAATAAAATTCTAGCCGGAATGCCTCCAGAAAATTAATGGAGATTTGAAGGGAAATCATTCTCGCGAGGAAGGTTTTTTAATTAATTGTTTCTAAAGGACTCCGACTCAGACTTAAAAAAAAAATTCGACTTGGAGTGATGGTGCATTATTTGACTTTCGCCGGGCAGGTTCGAGTTATCGAGGTTCAAGGGTATCAAGGGAGATCAGAAAACTAAGCTCCAGTTTGTGTATATCCTCGATCGAAGAACGTAATGACATGTACAAAAATTCCGTAGGGAAGTTCGTTGAATTTTTTGTTCCGAAAGCCTCTTTATTTAATGTTCTTGAGTGCAGTAGTTTGGTACAACAGCACGCGTGTTCGAATCAAACATGCCCAAAAACAGTTGCGCTGGGCATTTTTTTGCAAAGGGTTGTTTCAATTACGCTTTGCTGCCGTTGGAACACTTCGAAAATTGAAAAAGAAAGTTTTAAAAATTTAAAAATTCTCCGTCAAGCCTCATGGAAATTTCGATCCGTGCAGTGTCGAAATTCATGGTGTCTAACCCTGGAACAACTTTTGTTCAACATCCTTCAACTCTTGAAGAAAGGATAGGACAACGTATCTTTAGGTTTGGCTCAAACGCGCGTGTTGGTCTTATCTTTTTGTTTTGAATCGTCTAGAGACTCTAGAACATGGCATTTGTTCTGATTTTTTTTTTGGGTTATTGGGGTCATACCTTCATATTTTACTCCCCTGAGGAGATTAACTCCTGTAAAATCTGTCCATCGCCTGCTGGTCTACCCTTGACAATGCAGTACTGTACTATGAAGTGTGGACTGTAGAGTAATCTTCGTATTATCTTAGCCTTGATTAACCGTGTTTAAACTTGAATTCATCGATGATACACACAGTGGCCTGTTGAATTGTTAATGTCGGACGCTTTCTTTCTCTCTTTTGGAATCGTTTTCTGAGAATGTGCTCCGAATTGAGGTGGATATGATAAGCTTCAGGAAGTTGACGAAAAAATTTCTTCATACTTTCTTGTATTATCCAATAAAAATCATGTTTTATGTGAACTTCGGTGTTTAATTTCTGCGCCCATTTGATGTTTTCGAGTTTCAATTTTTTTCGTATGAGTTCACTGCTAAAATTGTGGGGGTTTGAGGGAAAATTCTTTGAACTTTTAAAAAATTCGGTGTGTTTAAAAAGTACCGATATTTTTTTTATTCAATTCATACAGTGACCTGTAAGTACTGTACGTCTTCGTCCGCGTTAGTACTTGATCGCAGTTTTCGAACGAAGCATGTGTTTTCAAATTAATGGCTGTTTGGAATTGCGTCTTTACACAATGAATACTGTACATCAGAAATTAAATTTTGCGTAGATGACTGTTGAACTGTTTTCCGCGACTCAGGTCGTACCTATCTTTACGAGGTCCTGTTATTTAAATGCTTTATTAGCGAAAAAATACGCGGCATTTTTTCAGCTTTCCAATACAGTACAGAGGAAACGCAAGCTGGCGAATCTAAGACTGCTGTCGCTTGTTTCATGGTAGGCCGGGAAATCTGACTTAATTAAGTCAGTTTTAATGAAGTCATTTGTTAATTTTTTGGAACCCCAGATGAAGTATAAATACACAGCATTTTGAACTGGCGAATCTTAGCTTAATTGGCGTGAGCAGCGAACATTATTTTTATATCAAAAGTCATGAACGATTTGATTCTTGCGAACACGTGCATACATGTCTTCAAGATAGGGTGTTTTTTGTGGGGCATCTGTCGAAGCTCTGTGAAAGTGAACAAATTTTGAAGTAACTCGCAATTTCAATTTTTTTTCCTGTAGCCGACGTTGGGAGTAACGAAGTCTTCCAGCGCTCTCTTGTACGTGCTTCTCTGTCCCGTCGGTCCTTATTTTTCCACGGGTTTACGAGCGAATTTGCTTGCGGATCCGAAGTTTGTTCGTTCCTGGCCAGGTGGCTGTGGTGACAAGAAAATGGGGTCAAACTACGACTCAGGTCGTACCTATCTTTACGAGGTCCTGTTATTTAAATGCTTTATTAGCGAAAAAATACGCGGCATTTTTTCAGCTTTCCAATACAGTACAGAGGAAACGCAAGCTGGCGAATCTAAGACTGCTGTCGCTTGTTTCATGGTAGGCCGGGAAATCTGACTTAATTAAGTCAGTTTTAATGAAGTCATTTGTTAATTTTTTGGAACCCCAGATGAAATATAAATACACAGCATTTTGAACTGACGAATCTTAGCTTAATTGGCGTGAGCAGCGAACATTATTTTTATATCAAAAGTCATGAACGATTTGATTCTTGCGAACACGTACATACATGTCTTCAAGATAGGGTGTTTTTTGTGGGGCATCTGTCGAAGCTCTGTGAAAGTGAACAAATTTTGAAGTAACTCGCAATTTTATTTTTTTTCCTTTAGCCGACGTTGGGAGTAACGAAGTCTTCCAGCGCTCTTTTGTACGTGCTTCTCTGTCCCGTCGGTCCTTATTTTTCCACGGGTTTACGAGCGAATTTGCTTGCGGATCCGAAGTTTGTTCGTTCCTGGCCAGGTGGCTGTGGTGACAAGAAAATGGGGTCAAACTACGCGCCCACTATTGATATCCAGGTGCGTTGTTTTTCTATTGCTTTTGTATTTGTTTAAATACTGCCTTGTGCAAATCGTCATGGTGAAAAAAATGGCGGAGTAGTGTGATAAGACGTTGATAAAACGGTGCGTGAATTTGAATTTCGCGCTGTAGAAAAGAAGAATATATTATGATACTGTACTACGGTTTGAGCGTTGTCAAAAGCTTCGCGCCCTCGAAAGAGCGTCTGGGCAAAACAAAGCTTTCCTAAAACAGCATAAATGCTGTACTGTTTTTATTTGAGTACCACGTGCACATGGATTTTCCATCTTAAAAATTGGATTAAAATGTATCAGCGACTAAGACCCGCACCCCATTTTCCAAGGCTGGAAAATTTCCATACAGGTGTACTCCCTGAAACGAAATTCAAGGGACTTTAAATTTGTTGTAGAGAGAATTTCGTTGTAGAGAGTCCCTTCAAAATGTGGAGAGAACCCTCACGGATAAAAAAATCGTTATACAGAGAGAATCGTTTTAGACAAGACCGTTGTTGAGAGAGAGTTTGCATCTGTATTTTGAAAATGAAAAGCGCCGGAATTTTAATTCTAACTCGGAATTGAGCCCGAATTCAATTTATTTTGAATTTTTCCATTTTTTAAATTGTCGAGCATGTTCCATTGGATTCAAATATTATTAGCACCGAAACGTATGAAAATGTTGAAAATTTTATTTTCTCCTATAATGCGCACAACTTTTTTTCTTCTTAATTTTGAAAAAAAGGTGCTCTTGGTACAGTACTTCAGTGATTACGGTGCTTGTGCGAAACGGTACTTGTGCAAAACGGTTTCAAACGTATTTAGTACAATAGGTTCTCTGTGGCAAGTGGTGTCGTTTTTAAGTTACGGAAATGTTTTATTGGTCGGCTTTCAAGTTGAAAAATAGCTTCATTTAGATATGACCAAATTTTACGAATTTTGTTGTTGAATACCCTTATGACTTCTAAGTTTAATGTGCTTCACTGGTCGTCTTGCTCAATTTCTTGAAAATTTTAAAACCACATAAAAAAATCTGGAGGACATTCATCAACTTTCGCGTGAACCGAAGCATTTACATTCTGTGCAACGTTGTTCTTCGTAATTCCTCGTAATGCGTATGAGGAAGCGACGATTTCCGTGTACTGTATTTCCATAGAATTAACCCGTTTGTCTTGAGCTTTTATTGCCGAGATGTGTTCGATTATGTATGCAGTTCCCTTTTGTTGAAGCGATAAGGAATCAATGATCCGCCAAGAAAGCTTATGTCGCTTTCGGATCGTTGTGGACACGGGATGTTGTTTAAATTTTTCATTGCTCTCATACGTCGGCCGTTTTACGGAAGTACAGTACAGTACTGTAGTTTGTTTTCATTGAATGCAAGAAATACGGTACTGTACATGCTAGCCCAGGAAATATTGGGAAAGTAGAATATTTTTGAAACTGCGCGAGGGAGAAATTTATGTCAGTCTTGGCTGAAAGCAAATTCAACTACTTATTTAACTTCAGATTCCATCGCGCGTTGAAATTGAGAAATTTTAACGAAATTCAATTTGTCCGCCGTTTATTTTCAGTTCAGCGGTGAGCGATACTTCTTATAAGCAAGTTAACAATTTTATCTAATTAAATTCCAAGAGTTTCTATCTTTCTATTTGCCAATGCTTTGAGATTATCCAAATTTCGCGTTGCCTTTTCCAAGTGATCGGTCTTCGAAAATTTAGTGCAAATGGCGATATTTTGAGAATGCTTTTGGTAAACTTACGAACAAAATATTGTTTATCTCAGCATACGCTTTGGTACTAGGTCTGAATCGTTAATCTAATACAGTAGTACTGTACAGTACACGGAACGTGAACTCACGTACAGTACCGTGCGATGAGCTTTGATTTTTACCGATGAGTAACTTTTTTAAGAGCGTTTTTTAGTTCGTTTTTATTGTGAGAAATTACCTTACTGGTTTATCAAGTTCCTTCAAGTGGAGTTCGGTCAGGGATTTTCAGTCGATTTGAAGCCCAAGTTTTCGGAAAACAAATAGTGTATCCCGAAAAATGACAGGCGCTCATGTTTTCAAATCCTGCCAAGCTATCGTTCATTTATTTATTCAACGCCAATGAGTAGAGCAGTCGATGTTTTATTCTTGAAGAATCCGGGAAGTTTTGTACCTATTCAGGCAGTGGAGAAATCATTTATACTGTACAGTACTGTACCTTATTTCTGAATATTGTACACAGTACATTTTTCTGGAAGAATGCGCAACGTTTTCAGTTATCCTTCTGATGCTATTTGGAACAGTTTCTGTCCTACTAGCATAGATTTGGCCGAAAACGAAGACAAATTCAATTCTTTTAACATCATGAAATGGAGCGCGATTTTTTAAAAGCCGGATTTGCATTACTTTCGAGAAGCGCTCTTGAAGCCAGTTGCGAAAATCCTTTAAGGCTTGGGAATACACTTCTGTACAAGTGTACCGAAGTGAAATTCATAAATTTCAGGTTTTATCTTGACGTTCCCGTTTTTATTACATTTTTTCTATTCCGCAGCGACAAGCGGAGGAGCAAGGGTTCCAGCAAGTTCTGTGGCTTTTCGGCCCCGATCACCAGATCACGGAAGTTGGAGCCATGAACTTGTTTATAGTTCTCAAGGGCAAAGATGGACGTGAGTTGCCCCTTCCTTTTGTTTTCGGTTCGCATCTCTCGCTTCACGAGTCCACTAGAAAAAAAACTTTTGCGGTACTGACATTTAAAAGTTATTCATCCTTTGGTTCAGTAAACATTTGAATTTATTTTCTCCGCTAATTTCAGAAGTATGTACTGGGTTGGGAATTTTATTTATCGTACTTCCGATTCGATGTTTATTGAAGTGGGGTTCTTTAATTAGTACGAAATGCGCTCTTCTTTCCATTTTGGCGTGCGAAAAAAAAGTGGCATCTCTTGGATTTGCGTGCGAAATGGTAATTTATGAGGTGAATTTAAATGCGTGTACTTCATTTAAATCTCAAAAAATCGGGCGCATATATACAATATGAATGGTAAGGATCAGGATGAAGTATGATCTGAAGTTAACAACGCGTCAAGTAGTTCCTCTGATTTTGACGTGCCTCGGAATTGCGTGCAAAAAGGTAATTTATGAGGGGATGTAAAATGTGCACCCTTTCTATTTTTATATCCTCATTTACTCATTGCACATACCCGTATTTCTCGTAATCTACTAATGATCAGCGGGTAGCATGATGTGAATTTCAAACAGTAAATTGAAAACGGGAACTTCATATGGCATGGAGAACTGTTTCTCAGAGGATTAACAATCTGTTGGAGAATCCAATTCTAACAGAGGTGGACAACGTCTTGGTTATCTGTACACTATTTGCGAATCATCTTAAACATGAAATAAAATCGAAGTGAGCCTCCATTTGGATAATTGATTGCCATTCATTATTATACCCCGCGGTAGATTGCGTTTCATTAAATTGTGCTCATTTTGGTCCACCGTGTAAGAACGGCTTGAGGAATATTCGTGGATTCCCCAAGAATCTTCTGTTTAAGGGCTAAGAAATCAAAATGCGTTTCGGAATCCCTGTGGTGGAATGAGTATTTTAGAAGCATTGAAGCCTGTTCAGATGTATCCTTCCCCGGACAGAAATTTAAAAGGATAGCAACCACCGATGGTTATACTTCCGATTCGATGTTTATTGAAGTGGGGTTCTTTAATTAGTACGAAATGCGCTCTTCTTTCCATTTTGGCGTGCGAAAAAAAAGTGGCATCTCTTGGATTTGCGTGCGAAATGGTAATTTATGATGTGAATTTAAATGCGTGTAATTCGTTTAAATCTCAAAATATCGGGCGCATATATATAATATGAATGGTAAGGATCAGGATGAAGTATGATCTGAAGTTAACAACGTGTCAAGTAGTTCCTCTGATTTTGACGTGCCTCGGAATTGCGTGCAAGAATTTATGTGGGGATGTAAAATGTGCACCCTTTCTATTTTTATATCCTCATTTACTTATTGCACATACCGGTATTTCTCGTAATCTACTAATGATCAGCGGGTAGCATGATGTGAATTTAAAACAGTAAATTGCAAACGGGAACTTTATATGGCATGGAGAACTGTTTCTCAGAGGATTAACAATCTGTTAGAGAATTCAATTCTAAGTTTCTAACAGAGGTGGACAACGTCTTGGTTATCCGTACACTATTTGCGAATCATCTTAAACATGAAAGAAAATCGAAGTGAGCCTCCATTTGGATATTTGATTGCCATTCATTATTATACCCCGCGGTAGATTGCGTTTCATTAAATTGTGCTCATTTTGGTCCACCGTGTAAGAACGGCTTGAGGAATATTCGTGGATTCCCGAAGAATCTTCTGTTTCTCCCGATTCTTTAGTTTTACGCAAAGCCTTAGGGACACCACCTTACTCATAAAATCTTCGTAACTTCGGACAAGTCTACATAGGAAGGGGCCTGTCTTTAAATTTTCCTATCGTTGGTGGCTACCAACTAGATATTGATCCGGTTTTCATTACCTTATTCCTTGTCTTGGACAGTCGGAGTCGTTCATGATGATCGTATTGATCAGGTCCACTTGGTTATGTTGCTCCGAATGCCGTCATGAAAGACAGCATCAAACCGGTATTCGTCAACGTAGTTTCCCGGAGTTTTACCTTGCAAGTTTTGAAGAGCACTTATCAATGCATCTACAGTATTTCTGTTTTGTTGGATACTTTCCAGGATTTCTTGAACCTCGTACAGATTTCGCTTCAATCGCGAATTTTTACAGAACGGTCCATTGCAGCCTGAATTAAAAGCTTACGCGCTATTAACCCAGTATTAAGGTTGTCTCCACCTGTTGTAAACACGTGTTAATATAAGTGACTGCTGGAAACGATATAAAAGGGACAAAAATTTCCTCTCTTCCTACAACCAAATTTCTGCATCCCACCAGGTTGAGAAGCACCAGGCGAACTGTCCTGTTTCAGGAATTATTAGGCAAATTATTGCCGAATATGTATTTAAAATGTTCGGAACACCGTGGCAATGTACCACCTGCAACAAGCATTTTCCGATCTTGGAAAATTTTTCAGAATTGATCCTTGAAGTGAAGTTTGCCCTGAAATGTTTTTGTTGAAGAATAAGATTCGAATGCGCGATAATTGGGTCATAATTCCAACAGAGGTGGACAACATTTGTGCACAATTATATTCACTGACGACCTTTGCTATATTTTCCCTGTTTTTAAAGGAGAGAAGGATGTTGGTTTAAAGAAGCACCAGGCGAACTGTCCTGTTTCAGGAATTATTCGGCAAATTATTGCCGAATATTTAAAATGTTCGGAACACCGTGGCAATGTACCACCTGCAACAAGCATTTTCCGATCTTGGAAAATTTTTCAGAATTGATCCTTGAAGTGAAGTTTGCCCTGAAATGTTTTTGTTGAAGAATAAGATATTTAAAATGTTCGGAACACCGTGGCAATGTACCACCTGCAACAAGCATTTTCCGATCTTGGAAAATTTTTCAGAATTGATCCTTGAAGTGAAGTTTGCCCTGAAATGTTTTTGTTGAAGAATAAGATACTCGAGCATTTGAAGAAAATCCTTCACAAAATTTTGGATACTTGCTGAAATTCTGGTAATTGATCCTGCAGTGGATTCAGGCTTGTTAATAGAAGAGGATTCTTGTTTAAAAAAAAGAGCATTAAAAAACGAATTCAAATTTCGGGCAGAAAGTTTTTCAGAAATATCCTTGAGAAATAATTAAAGATATCAGATGATGATCGAAAACATGTATTTTTCGTATTCCACAGAAGTCGAGTTGGTGACAGCACCCTTGAATGGACTGATTTTACCTGGAGTGGTTCGGGATTCTATCCTAACGCTTGCCCGGGAATGGGGTCGCTTCAAAGTCTCTGAGCGCATTATTACCATGCCACTTCAACAGTTTCGTACCTTCCTTCCCCTACATTCAAGTGTGCTAAGACGCTCCTGAAAGGAACGTACATAGAGAGAAAAAGAGAGGACTTGAACAGGCTTCTCCGAGCAGCGTGACTTTTATTAAGTTGGGTTGTGTTGATTCCAGTCGTGGAGATTTTTGAGAATTAATTTCGTACGGGATAATGATGGAATCAGGAAATTTTGTTTTGAATAAGTTGTTTTGAAGATATTGGATAAAAGAATACAATTTTTTGACAATGACTCAGCTCTTGGAGATCTTCGGATCGGGAACCGCAGCCATCGTTTGCCCAGTGGAGACCATCAAGTACGAGGAGCATTTAATCCGCGTTGAGCCCCGGGAGAACAGTCTGAGTTCTCAATTCCGCACTGCGTTGAATGACATTCAAACTGGACGCGTGGATCATCCCTGGGCCTGGCACTTGAACGTTGACACGGAACGCGACCACGCAGTCCAGTGGCGGGGCGACCTCGAGCAAGCTGAGCCCCAGCGGCCGACTCAGCTACTTGAGCAGGACAAGACCGTCCGAAATCAAAGACGCTTGACACCGGAAAAAAAGGTGGGGGGACGCCAAATTTTTTTTTGCTTTTATTTCTAGACCTTGGCAGCATTTTTTTGTACGTTTTAGATTTTCTTCCGGCGTACTTTGTTTTTGTTTTTGGCTGAGAATAATATCTGGTGCTAATGAGTTCAGGTGTTCGCTGTTGTTGGCGAGACATATTCGCTTTAAATTTCACTTGACCAGGCGGCATTCGAGGCGGGAATTTTTGGCGAGCTGTGAAGCTTACAGCATTCAGCGAAAATTCGAGGATCTTTGGGAGCAGTCTGTTTAATTGCTCAACGACGCACTACTGTATTTAAACGATGAAAAATGTTCCCTGGAAAAAAGGAAACTTTAACTGAAATTCATGAAAGTTCTATTGATTCGGGCTTTGCTAATTGCGAAGTTTGTGGGGTGAAATTTTTGATTGGATCATGATTTTACTGATGGGTTGGGAACTCATTCAAGCGAATTACTTGGATTTTAACGATCATTGGGAACGGAATTTTAAGTGGCTGCAATAAGCAATTCAGTGAACTGGACTTGACAGGGAGTGTTCAAATTTTCTGTGAAATTTACGATTATTCGCACTATTCGCATTATTCTTTTATGAATCCACGATTCATTCCTATCAGCGTTATTCAGTTAGGTTTATGAATTAGTTTTCGGTTAATAATGTGAACGATAACTGAAATTCAAGAGTGTCTTAATTACGGTAGACGTTTTTGATTGACTGATCGCTGGAAATACGATTTTGATTTGCTGACTGATGTTTGCGATTGGATTTTTACTGTGATTACTTCTGGTGACAATTTTGTTGTCGTGAAACAACTTAGTGTTCTGAACTCTTGAAAATTTGGATCGCTTTTTTTTATAATTGCTAGAGACAATATTTAATTTCTTTGGGTAAATCGAGACGGAGACTTCGTAGAGATTTGCAGCTTATCAGATGAACTAACACTCCTCTGAACTCGAAGTTTTTCATTAGCTTGAGCTACTTCATAAATTTGCCTGAAGAAATCAAAGCATTCACCTGAACTCATTAAAGCCCGTTTTTGGATCTGATTGCTTTGATTGTTTTGAGATCTGAAATGATGTGAGAAAAACGTGAAGGCTTTCGATGGATTGCCGGTCGTTGACATCGGGAGAAACTTTGTGTGCAATACGGGAAGCTCTCGAGACAACCTCACAAAATAAGACAGCTGTGTTCCGAGGTCCGTTTTTTGTTTTGGTTTATTTTGGCACTGCTGCCTTTTATTGCTCAAGAATGGTCGCCGGATACGGAGACCCGAAGCGAAACCGGTTCGGTTTTATCAAGCGTTTTTATTTCGAGTATTTTTTATTTGCAACAGGCTGGTGGTGTAGAAACGGTGTTCAACAATATTTTTGTTTTCGGTTTATATGCAGTTTTATTTTAATTTTTTTTTGCAACGCGCCACCGAAGTTTGTCCGCTTGGATTTTAGAGCTTGATGTGTTTAGATCAGAAATCGAGGTTACATTTTTTTTCGTGATGGTTTCTGGCACTTGGTGGGGCTATGGTTCGCACTGGCTATTTTAATGACGAATTTCCGGTGATTTCTCATTGGATGTCGCTTCTCAGGGTACTGTACTTGCAATTTCTGTATTTTCTGCTGGTTTGTCGTTGGAAGAATCGTGGTACTAGGTTCCATACTTTGCTGCAGAAAGTTAAGGAGAAATAGGCGTATTTTGTATTTTATATTGGATAGGGTGTCCGAAGAGTTATTCTGCTGCGAGAAATTTGAAAGCTGCATTATGAAGTTTACTCACTTCGTCCAATCTCTCTTGACGTATTTCTCGCCAATTTTGATGAACTTGTTTCACCATAGAACATGCCATTCAAAAATGCCGAAATTGCTTTTGTGCGTCAACTTCTCGGACACCCTTTAGTTTTTGGAGAATGAAAAGTTCAACACAAAATTCCACACGTTGCCAAAATTTTCAGAAAACTAGAAACGTCCTCGTTATGCATTCGTTGTTTATAAATGTAGTTCTTGTTTTTTTCAAGTTGCCAAGTGGGACCAATGATTCGCCAAATGTTTGAAACTGCGCGTGGAAAACTGGTTTGCCTAGGGGGTGTTCTGCTTGAATAAGGACCGAGTGCAATATACGCAAACTGGGAATTTTTTGTTTGGATTTTCCGCTGCTTTTTTTTCTGTCATTACGGAGTGTTCTAGGTTGTGCTGTGGCTAAAGCGAGCATTTTTAATTCCTCTCGTGCTTCTGGATGGAAAAAGAAAAGTTGTGCCCCGTTGGGCGATTTCTTCGTGGGTTGGAAAAGAAAAGAAAGTGAGATAAACGTTGTTTGGGAGGTGTTCAATGGATTGGTTGTGTGGAAAATGAAATCTCTGCGCTCTAACGATGCATAGAGCCGCCTAACTGAAGCTCTTTTTCTGGACAACCACAACTGTACGTTGTTTCTTTTTTTCTTTCTTTCCTTAACCTTCAAGTCCAGCGACAAAGCAGCAAGACTAAAATCAATTTTTCTATTTTTCACGCCCTATGACGAAGCGAATTTTATAAATTTTGAACTCATTTTTCGTCTTCAAAAATCATTGAACCCGCATTTCCAGAAGCTTTTAAAAGCGGCTGGAAGAAATTTAAAAATGTGATGGTGGTCGAGATCAGCAATCATGGATTCTTGAAAAATCTGGAAAGTTATGAATTATTCGACGTCATTCATTCAACAAAAATGTTTTTGTTCAGGAGCCCTTTCTATGTAAATTTGAATGGCATGATAATTTGAACTTGAAGACTTGGAGTGTTGACGCTGAGAAATTGTTTGACGCAATTGATCTTCCTTGCTCGGTATCTTGCAAATTGATTACAGTTGTGACATTACTGCTATTGGCACTCACTTTCTTGGTCGGGTGCCTTTTTTTGAACTGGTGCTGTTTTGAATCATGATATTATGTCATGTTCTTTATTTGTCAACTCCCTGATCCGAACTGGCGTCCATTTGAGCGTTTACTTTTTTTACATGAAAAATAATCTGGTTTCCTCACATATTTTCAGTACAAGTGCTGAATTATCTTTTTTTGTTGTCAGATTCATCATATTTTAAAAGGGAAAATTTTTTTTAACGTGATCAGGGGCGTGAAAAAGGATTCATCTTCACATCTTTATTTTTAAAAATGGGCGGAGTTTGAATTTCAATTCGTGATTTTGTTTTTTTACAGGCGTGCGTACTTCTCGATTTTCGAAGAAGACGCGAGATTGCTACGTATCTCGGCGGATTGACTTCGAGAAAAAGACCTGTTGGTGTTGACATGCAACAAAGAAAAAAAGAAAGAAAGGAATTGGAAGTTCAGGTCGCTGTTTCGTCGTTCTGATTTTCAATTTTTCTATTTTTCACGCCCTATGACGAAGCGAATTTTATGAATTTTGAACTCATTTTTCGTCTTTAAAAATCATTGAACCCGCATTTCTAGAAGCTTTTATAAGTGGTTGGAAGAAATTTCAAAATGTGATGGAAGTCGAGATCAGCAATCATGGATTCTTGAAAAATCTGGAAAGTTATGAATTCTTCGACGTCATTCATTCATCGAAAATGTTTCTGTTCAGATGCCCTTTCTAAGTAAATTTGAATTGCATAGTAATTTGAACTTGAAGTGTTGACGCTGAGAAATTGTTTTACGCAATTGATCTTCCCTTGCTCGATATCTTGCAAATTGATTACAATTGTGACATTTCTGCTATTGGCACTCACTTTCTTGGTCGGGTGCCTTTTTTGAACTGGTGCTGTTTTGAGTCATGATATTATGTCATGTTCTTTATTTGTTAACTCCCTGATCCGAACTGGCGTCCATTGGAGCGTTTAATTTTTAAAATGCAAAATAATCTGGTTTCCTCACATATTTTCAGTAAACGTGCTGAATCATCTTTTTTGTTGTCAGATTCATCATATTTTAAAAGTGGAAATTTTTTCAACGTGATCAGGGGCGTGAAAAAGGATTCATCTTCACATCTTTATTTTTAAAAATGGGCGGAGTTTGAATTTCAATTCGTGATTTTGTTTTTTTACAGGCGTGCGTACTTCTCGATTTTCGAAGAAGGACGTTAGTTCCTCTTATTGTAAGCTGTGATTGTGGCTACCTTCGCCACCATTATCCTTGTGTGTGAAACTTGTCTGTGGTGTTTTCGTTTTTAATTTTTTGCGCTGGAAATTTGAAAGTTGTGCTTGTGTGATTGCGGGAACAGCCATGCACGTTGCATGTGACTGTCTCAACGTGAAGATTCATCTAAAAGATGGACCTTTTGTTGCTCGCTCCGAATGGGGTGCATTATTCTACGAGGGAAGCGCTGGAATCGGAGGGGTGAGTTCAATTTTTATTCTATTTTTTAAAACTTCAACTCAAATTATAAAATGACATTACGGAATTCTCGAATTATTCGTTTAGAGTCTTAAATCAATATAGTACATCCGCGAAGTCGTCTTTTTTATTGATACGTTTTGTAAAGATTGTATCCTTTTTTCAATATTTTTCGCATCAAATCATGAACTCTTCGCAATTTTAATACAGTACTGTTCATTATTTTCAACATAAAAGTAGTGCATTTTGTAAGTCCAATAATGCAACTTTGACACTTGCGTACAATATTTTTGATGCAAGACTTTTTGAAGTTACGAGGCGACTTCGAATGTATTTTTGAAGTAACATGCGACTTCCGCAACTTCCTGCTTACTCAAGTCAATGACATTACATGTCCTCTACGAAATCGTGTATCTGAGCAACTTGGCGAGGTTCATGCGACATCTACGGAACAGCAGAAGAAATGAAAGCGTATGGGAGATAGACTGTTGAAACGGACAATCCCATTTACCGTAACTGGATTGAATTTGATGTGCTTGGAAGTTTTTGATCGTTTCATACGGATTTTTTAAACGGAATTTCTGAGACTTTTGTGCTTGGATGTCGTTTTGTTTTGGTAGACTTCTAGAAGCCATTCTTAGAGACTTCGAAAAGAAAGTTATTCTCTGCGCTGGAAGGTCTTTTAAACACTCACAATATCTGAAATTTGAAGAGCCAGCCTCAAAATCAACTTACGATTAACACGTTCTGTTCCCGAAATGGAAGTCATTGGGATTGAACACCGGAGAAAGTATGATATTCTACGATGTTTCAGATTTTCAAAAATGTTTCAGATTTTTCAAAATGCTTCTGATTTTCTGAATTTTTTTTTTCATTTCAATCTTGCGAAAACAGGAAATTCTCCAAGCCACGCTGGACACGGGCGGAGTTAAGATTGAACAGCCGCAGCTGATCAGGCAAGTGGATGTTCAGTCCGCAGCTCCGATGTCATTGCAATCTGCTGGCAAAATGTTCACGAAATGGCGGCAGACGCAATGTCTAAACTGTGGACTGTGGAAACATTTTTTCTTCCTAAAATGTGTCGAGTTATCAAGGTTTAATTATTTTTTGTATTTTTACTTATTTCTAGCTATTTATTTCATAACTATTCTCAACATTCGTTTCTCACTTCGTTGTGAGTCAGCTGGTGCTTCATGTGAGCGTTGAAGCGCAAAAAGTGCTTTTTTTTCTTTATTGCACAGTAACGTGTGGATTCCCTATCTTATCTGCAATGATAGTGTCCTTAAAGATTTATTCTCCTCTTTTTGATGAATCCTAAGATTTGAGTGAAACCCGTGGTACTATATAATCGTTTTTGACGTTATTCATTAAAAAAAAAAATACCGGCAATTTTTCAGCGGAAGGAAGATTGGGGAGCATTGATGGATTCCGAAGATTATTCCCCAGCATTTCGTCTTGTCATCATGAGGAGGCGTCCCGAGGGTTTGGATACGCACAGTGGTGGTGAGACAATTTTAAAAGAAGTGCTTGTTAAATTTCAGGGAAAATCGGGATTGTAATTGCTAATATTTTGGCTGCAATTCTACCTTGCAGACTTTCTTAGCGGAGTAGCAAGCAGCTTGGACCAAAGCACTGACAAATATTTGCGTCAGGAAGAAGTTAATGTCGAAGAGCGCATTCGACAGTATGCCGAAATCCAAAGAAAATCTCTGGAAGGGATCAAGCAGCGAGCTCATTGTGACAAGAAACGTCTAATCGGGTAATTCATGTTCTTTCAATTTCCGTTTTTCATTGTTTCAGTTTTAGTACAGAGGGACTCTCACTCTCTACAACGAAATTCAAGGGACCAGGAAAAATTCGTTGTTGACGAAATTTTGTTGTTGGCAGCCCATATAATGACGGTTGGGGGAAAAAACGATTCATTGTGCAGAGCAGATTTTTGATGACTGTTTAAAAGACATCTGTGTCAAGGACATCCAGTTTTTTCTGGAGTCCTACGTTTTTGAAAAAAAAAAACGCGGTGATTAAATTTATGATCCCGTAGAATTTCGTGATAGAGTATTATTGTTGGACATCAATTTTTTTTAGGCACCTGTCCAATAGCCTTAGATTTCTTTGTAACGCGTTTTTTGTCGTTTTAGTGAGGCGTTCTTCCCTTCTCCCGATGTTTTCAATGCAAAGAGATTTTATTGTAACTTTTTAAATCTTCAGATCAGGAAATATTTTCTGTGTCAGATTTCAGCGGTATTGACTTCTGTCGAATTTATTATTTTTAAGCTGAAGTGTTTTTGTGATTACCGTATCAGTGATAAGATAGTGGCAGAAATTTAATTGCTTCCAAATTGATCACATTTCATACAATTCATCATCTGAGACCATATACGAAGCCAGAACTGGTGGATGCTTAGGTTCATAGTTCTAAAACTCAATTGTGCGCGGAGTTCATCATCCGGAGTAATACTGCACAGTATATAATTTTCAGTATGCAGTCGAGATGAATCTATTGCAATCATTTCATTTCGGCGAAGCAATGTCATTTTTTTTCAGCGTTGTTCGGTAATTTTGATCGTTCAGTCCAAACGTGTATTTTTTAATGGTACAGTGTTCATTTCCAAACTAACAGATCCCTGAGGAGTGTTACCGAAGATGAGAGCGAGTTGATGGAAAGCACCACGACTCCATTTGACGAACCCGTCGCTTTCGCCGTGCCTGCGAGCGAACTGACGCCGCCAATGACTCCCAAAGACAATAGTAAAAACGAGGAACCAGACAAGGTTGACGACCACTTGCAGCGAACTGCTGCTATGTTCGACGAGCCGCCTGACACTTTGGGACCACTTCCCAGTCCTACTGACATTCTGGATCGAGTAAGTTTCCCTCATTTGCTCTGTGAAAGGGGGAGAGGCAGCCTTTTTTCTCAATCGTTGGGATTTCTGGAAAAGGATAATTTTCTCGTCTTTGATAGTGAAATATTTTCACCACCTGCGTGTGATACTGTGATAAGCAGAAATCTCGGTTACTAGGCTTGTTTAATATTACAAGCCCATGAGTGTTGGTTTCTAGGGGATGGAACTTGTTGTCTCAAAATATTTTCCTAGTGTAAAGGCGCTGAGATTAAAAACACGCAATTTTATTCTTGATTCCAGGAGTACCTGACATGTGCCTCATTACCATCAATGGTACACTAGACGTGAAATTTTTCCTTGATTGTTCAAGATTGCAGGACATTTCAATAAATTCGAAGTTCTGACAAAGGAGAAAGAAATGTCCGATCGAAAATAAGCAAATATATTTTTCATGAAAACTTGATGCTTACGAAAGAATTTGACTGAGATTGAGGGTTTGTTGAATTTCCTTTCTTAACGGAGCTTTTCAAACGGTGAATATCATTTTTGGTACGCAGGCACATTTCAGGCGATAAATCTAAATTTTCCTCCATTAGATTCTAAGGGTTTGTATATGGATTAACAAAAATACTGTAGATGAAAAAAATGAAAGCGTCATTGAAGAGATTAAACGTCAGTTTGAATGTGAAGTTTGTGTTCTGTGCAAGTTTTAAGGCAACTAAGAATTGGATTTGAGTTGAAGCCATAGGTGTTGATGCTGGACTCAGAACATGTTACTGTAACACTGCCGTGTCTTGAAACTTTAAAAACCAAAAATTTTTTCCAGAGAGCGAGAAAAAATTGGGTGTTCAAAAATTTACTGTGCCGAAAAGAACTTGCGCATTGTTGTAAAACGATGTTCAAAATTCAATACGACCCTCATTAAATACCTTAGTTCGCATTTCCTCTAAAAAAGAACAATGAAATTTGAAATCATTAATATTAAAAATAATTCTACCTAGGAAGATTAATTTCTTTCTTAATTGGGGGAAACATATTTTCAGAACAGCGAAAGGTGAGCTTACAGAAGATGAATTACGATTTGCTTAATATTTTAATTTTTATGAATTCGCGAATCGTTTCGTTGCTCCTTTATTCGCATTTTGATGCATTTTCGCTCGCAGGGTGAAATGCGAGGAAAATTGCGAAGGAGGAGTTCCGGAGGCGGATCTGCTTCTCGTCTCGGTTCCTCGCTGGACACCGAAGGTTGTGATCCTGAAATCATTTCTAGTATCATTATTTATTTCTTCTTCTCATCTGTCGTCCGCATGATTACGTAAAATTGAATTCAGGTTCCTTTCAATTCATTTGTTTCGTTTATGGTAAATCTCACGGAGTGAGAACTGAGGCATTGCTGTGATAAAAACAATTGTAACGCTTGCCAAAAAAATTATAATTTTTTTATTATAATTTTTCCAAGTATAGAACAAATTATATTATAATTTGTACTGTGCAAGAAATCGCAAAAATTTCGTGGATAGATTTCCTTACAAGAAAAACATTCATATTTTCTTGCGTAAAATATAATCTTGTTTGTTAATCAATGTGCAATTTTCGTCAAGTACTTGATCGTTTCGTGCAAATATATATTCCCCGATTCGCATGAGGAAATATATTTTTGGCCTGTGAAAAAATTTCTTCCCAGATTCTGCAATGCGAGTTATCGAAGTAAATTATTCTGCACAATCTGGATTCAGTGCTGTATATGAATAAAAGAATGTCGCGGATATCACAAGTTCTCTGATCTTTGTATTATCTGTTTCTTAATCCAGAAATTTCTTAAAAATAATAATTGCGAAACCCCCCTTTTCTCAAAATCCGCGCGCTTCATCCCGATTTGGGCTTATTTCCGGTTTTCTCTGTTTTCCTAAACTGGCTTTTTGTCTCGTGTGATGGAGAACTTCCCTTGTGAATCAACGAAATTTTTAATTTAATTGCTGGAGCCACAATATCATGCAGTGCAAATGAACGGAATTTTGTCTTAATGTTCGGTGATCTCTGTTATTTAGTCGATTTAGTTTTTTGGTTGTCGCTCGGTTGCGAGTTATTGGGTGATTCTGCAGAATTTTTCGCCGTACAGTATTAAATTAATAAAGGTTATTGTCGTGCTAATTTTCTTCTTCTTTTACTTAATTTACATCCGTTTTTTGTTGCTACAATTCGTATTCAGCTCTAATCTTATATTTCTCTTATATTTCTCCTTATCGCCTTCCTTGTTTCACTGTTTTTCTTCTCCTTTCGGAAAAGATGTTTTTGTCTTGAATTTTCTTCATTTGCCGTTTTTAAACGAATATGAGGCGCACTTTTTCGAAAAAATTTCCTCTGGAAATCAGCGTCTTATTTTTTAATCCGGCAACATTTTATATTTGATGACGTCGTAGATTCGTTGGTGATTTACATGGTTGCTTTTGGTTCCAAAAACTCTCATGAATGATGAGCGAGTCTGAAATTCAATTAAATCTAGAAGAAACCTTTTTCAATTTCGAGAACACTGAATCTGGAATTTGCAATTGTTGAGAATTTTTTTTAGATTGAATTGTGAACCAAAATCAACTGGCTGGTTTGATTCTGAAGAAATTCAATGATGCTTGATTGAAAGCATTTTGAAGCCACATGAAAATGTCTTTTCTAATCGTTAGATGAAAAAAATAAAGGTACATGCGGTATTTTGTCTATGATATCCTATGTTCGGTTCAACATAGCTATTCGTTGTAGCGATTTCGCTGATCGTCTTGGTCGAGGGTTGTAAAATAACTTCCGTGTTTTGCTGAAGGTTTGTTCTTTTTCGACGGGATGGAGGATTCAGTGCTAGACCCAGGAACGCAAGGACTAGTTGAAGAACACAGTGAAGATAATACTGTGGACGAAGATGACCTGGAGGATGCTGAGGTGGATGACCCGTTCCCGAGCATCGGAGCTCAGTCACTTCCGATAAAGATGCCCCTCAGGGAATTTCGGAATCAGGTCAGAGAACCGGCTTTTGTTCGAACGACTAAAATACCAACTGTTGACCTTATTGAATGGATGTAACAAGAAATGCAATTTTAATTTGCTGGATTTCAATCGAAATATTTTCGGAAAAGCTGCATGATTGATTTTCTAGGAAATGCGTTTTTTGGTTTAAAATAGAACTTTTCCTCTTGCTGAAATGCTGATAGCGACGCACATTCATTGAAGTAGAATTTTTTTTTAACCAAAGAACCAAGTTTTGCGAACCATTTAGCTGGAGTATCAATTTTCAAGCTCACCAGCGTGAGTTCGAAGCTCTCTTTGCGTTCATTTATTTTTATTGCATTAAGTTGAAGGCTTCGAAGAATCTTTTCTTGGCATTTTATTTGTGCGACGAAAGACATTTTACCCGGAACATCACAATAAGATTCAACCACTTTCAGAGGACTACAAACGGATTGTCTGAGAAGAGGGGAGGCATCGAATGTTCTTGTAGTTGTTTCATTCCCTAAATATAGGAAGCAGCAGTCTGTTTTAAGATGAAGAAAATCATCCCAAAAATTTATAAAAAGGTATAGCAAATCAGGAACGAACCCCGAAAACCAGTAAAATAGCGGGCTTTAGTCGACTGACATTCAAAACACTGCGAAATGACTGCAAATTTCTGGTCATTTCCAGATAGTTTGGATTTTTCTATCATGCAGCAAGCTGAAAAATTGGCCTAAAATAATTTGTAAAAAATTTATGATAGTCGCAAACATAAGGAAAATGTTCAAGTTTTGGACCTTTTGACCTTCGCAATTCGAGCCAGATTATAGGCCGCACAGACTTTGCACCACCCTTGTATTTCCGTGCAAATCAGAATGTTCAATGCGTTGGCAAAATGTTTGACGAGAAAAATGTTTGATTACAGGTTACTGGCGCAAAGCAGCGGAATGCCATGGACATGGACGCCGAATCCCCGGGAGTGGCGCCGGAAAACATAGCGGCGTCCATTCAAGCCCTGGCCCGCAGCGTTCACATGACTGAGGAAGACCAGTTTCTCATGGACTTGCCTCGGCGCCGACTCCGTTCTTTCAAGGACTCCATCTACGACCTGTAAGGAAGTTCAGCAGCTGCGTTCTTCTACGCTTCTTTTCCTCCATCATTGTTGACCTCGTGTTGTCCGTGACTTCGTACGAGGTCATATACACCACGTGAGAGCGTTTCTCGCGAAGAGTTAGTACATAACGACTCAATGACTGACGAAAGGACGAACTTAGACTAAACTGTTGATCCGTGCTCTCTTCTCTGTCTATTGACTCTTTTTGTGCACTAGCTGTTCTGAAGCGTGCTCCTCTGAATAAGCACCCTTCTGAATTTTTTTTTTTTTCAAAATTTTTGAACAGTTATTGGATTTAAGGCGCTTGGGTTTCGCAGGTTTATGGTGCTTTAGCCATATTGCGATTTATGTTGTTGCCCGTGGTTTTAAAGAGACTGGGACACAGAAAAGCGAGTCACGAAAGAGCGTGTGCAGAGAAGAGCGAGTATTACATGGAAGATCAATTTATTTTGATGCCTGCTCGTTCGTGCAGTGGCTCTTTCGATACTCGCTCCCCTGATCAGCAAGGTATTTGAAAATTTCAGCTTATTTTCTGCCTTGCCTTCACCCTCTGGAAAAAAATTCTTTTTTTTTTTCTTAATTCGCATGGCTTTGAGCCAGTTTATTTATAATTTTCAATTTCTTTAAAAATATGTATGAAAACAAAAACCTCGTGCTTTTTGGGGAAAGTTTCTTTGCGTGAGGAATGCTTCGGTGTTTTTCTAATGATATTCCATTTGCTTGACGAGGAGACTCTTGGTCGCACGTACAAGATTTTAGTGAGTCGGGATTTTTAATCCTGATCGAACGACTGCGAAGAACACTTTTTTGGATTTTCTTCCTGTGCGAAGGAATTTGGGATTTTGGACGGTGAATAAGTTTGGGACAAGGAAGCGTTTCGTAAATTCGTGGAAAATTCGAACGATGGTTCCCCTACGCAAATTGTTTGCGTATTGCGTTCTCTGGACGATCACGTTTCTAGAAATTTTGGAAGAAAACGAATGTACATTCAGGTCTTGTTCTGTCCCTGAGGAAAATTAATTGGGATTTTTTTAAACTTGAGAAATAGTCGCAGTCGTAACTTCTTTTTTCTTGAAAAAATATCGATGATGATAGCAATATGCTCAGTGATGAAAAGTGAACAAAAGCAGTTTTTACTAACGTCATTTTTTCAAGTTTTTTGGGGATTTTTTTTACGGATTTACTGAAACTTCCTTGATGATGACTAAAACTTGAGGCTGCTTTGGCCGTTGAGTGAGCAATTTATCGGCGATAAGCAAACCAAAAGAAACTTTCGGATTGGCGATAGTGCGAAAAAATGTTTGTTGGACTGCCCAATCTTTTTTGCACCAAAAAACTTGGATACCTTGTCTGCATTTGTTGCAAATGCGTTGGTCTAATTTTTCCTCCTCACTTGATCCAAGTGTTGCTTCTTTTCTCGGCCACTGTTTGGACAATTGTCTTTTCTTTTGTTTTCAAAGAAAGCGAGGTTGATTCTCTGCGATATTATGAATTAGTGCAAGGGCTGCTGGAAGCTGTGCTTCTGGATGCAGGGACTGTGTGATCTTTTGTGTGAGTTGAACGTTGTTCGCGTTAAAGTTCCTTGCCGTTGACGCTGGAAGTGTGGTCGCAAGTCAGTCTTTCTTTGACTTTTGAGGGCTGATGTCAGAAAAAAAAAGGAAGAGGTCTATGGGATTCGTTCTCAAGACCGGTTAGTCAATAAGAAAAGCCTGACCAGATGAAAAGTTCCATATTTACGCGAATTTATTTCGTGTGACTGACTTCGAAAAATCAGGAAATTTTAATTTTGTTGCTGAATTTTCAATGTACGGCTTGGTCATGTTTAAAATATTGTGGATCAGATCATGTGAGGAAATGTTGATGGAATTCGACAAACGGTGATCTTATGCGAACGAGAAGGATTTAATTAACTCAGAAGATCATGAACTGTCATTGAACTTGAAGTACGTTCAAAATGTTCGCTGATTTTTTTTTTATTTCTTGATCCAAAAAGAAAATAGAACTTCCTGGAGAGGATAAGAGGTCATTGTTCGAGTTTGGATGAAATTTCAAAATATTCATTTTTAAGAACTTTCTAAATAGCTCTAGTCAGTGAAATTTCAGAAACATTTGAAAATATCGTAAAAAATTTGAGTTATCTCTAATCAAATCCGGCGGGTTTTCTCCATCTTTTTTGCTTCGATTTGTTTTAAATGCAATCTAAAATCATAAAAATCTCAAATTTGCATAATTTTTGGTGTGAGGATTGAAAATGGCTATATTGACGAAATTATCAAAGGTAGGAAGAAGTTCGGTTCATACCATTTAAATCTCGTAGTAAAACTTTGTATACTAGCCATGAAAGTTAGCAGATCTTTTGAGTCCTAATTCAGATTTCCAGCTCTCATAGGTTTTGAATATTGAGTTTGAATTGAAATGTCATGCTGTCGTTTTTCAAAAGTTGCTATAAAAACAATAATATGAGAGATGAAATGAAGGAATGATTAAACAGTAATTTATTTAAAATTTTATTTGAGTCCTTGACTTTCGAAGTTTCTGAAATTATTCAAACCGAAGTCACCTGAATTATCCTGTATTTGTGTAAATATGGTTCTGTTTCAGCTGGACAGAGGATTAATTCTTATGCGCTTAAGATTGGGTTTAAGTATGTTATTTATTTGCAGCCCATTTTATGCAAATTGATTCATAGAGGTTCCTTTTTCTGGATCAGTGCTCAAAATTCTGAAATTCTGGAACCTCTCAATTCACCAGAGTTAGAAAAGGGGGAGGATATGTGACCCATTACCGTCAACTGGGGGGGTTCTAAACCTGTGGCGATTTTTGAGATGCTCCGTTGAGAGAAAAAAAAAAGCTCTGGTCATCCAAATTTTCGAAAAAAAAAAGTTGTTTCCAGTAACTGTGACCATTTTCATTGACTAGTTCTTGAACTCCAAAAGCAACTGTTTCTAGCGGTCACATGGAGTTTTTTTTTTGTGTGGCAGAAGTGGCTCTCATGTGTAAAATCGTGGTTCACCCTATGTTTCCTTCCTGCATGTTTGACTACTGTTCTCTTACAAGAAAGAAATTTTTGAGGTTAAATTACAGGAGTGTTAAACTTACAGCAGCTTTTCTTGCAACTGGATATCATGATAATATGTATGATTGAGAGCAGGCTTTTTCAAAATTTCAAATAGAAAATATGTGGGTGGGCTGAGGAACTCAGAACCTGCGAAAATATTGAGCGACCTCTACCTGGCCAAAAATAAGTGTCAGCGCGAGATGGACACGCAAGCTAAAATTATATGAGCGTTGTTCACATGAAATGTAAATTTAAATTTCCGAGACGCTGTCAGTAGAATGAAACTTCACTATTTAAGGAAGCCCGCTGCTAAATTTATCGGATTGTAAATGTACTTTTCCGTTTGCGCGAAAATTGAACGCTTGCATTGATATTTGTGAGGTTCGTGCTAAAATCTACAACTGTCATTGAGTATTTTGCAGAAGAAGAGGCTTTTCAAAATGCAGGAAGGAAACATGAAGGGAAGAAAGAGAGGCAGTTGTTTTTTGGCGAACCGTTTACAACGTGACCTGATATTTGTTTTGTAAAGAAGAAAAAAAGCGTACTTTCGCGGCTGGCTGAGAAAAAGAAAGATGTATTTTTTCGAGCGAGTTTGAAATCAGACTTTCTCTTGCTGAATAAGTGTTCACTCAGCTCGCAGCTTCGTGTATGTGTTCTTTGTTTGTTTGTTATATTAAGGTTCTCTCTCTCTTTGCCATTTTGAGAGTATGACCTCTGATGTGATTGGGTTTTGTGTTTGCAATCCCTTTTTTTTTCTGCTCACCCTGTTTTCTTTACCCGAGTGTAAAGGCTTACCCGAGTTCCGAATGGCTGCGGAATTGCCGACCGCTGATCTTATTTTGTTAATTTGAGGACAGTGAGTAAAGAAATGATTTGGTGACCGATGCGATTTCTTCTTTCTTTCCTTCGAAATTCCCGTGCTGTTAACCTGACCGATATGAAATTTCTTGTCAATTTTCTTCTTCAAGATGGTTTATTCGAAAGTGATACTGGACCAACTGGTGTCTGCTGGGGAAGGTTAGTCTATTCATTTTTTTCATTCTTCACTTCAAGAAGTCACTTTCTGACGTGAAACTTAACCCATTACTATGTGAATGTTCGCGAATTTTTGTCGATTATGTGTTTTGGAACAAAGATTAATTTTTCTGTTCTGCTTATTTTTGAATTGATGATTTTCACTGATGCTAGGAATGGTTTTTTCACCGCCTTCTAAACCTATTGAAGGCAAATTTTATCGACAGATTTATGAGTAATGAAAATTAAATTCAAAAGCAATTATAAGAACCAGGAAGAAAGACTGGTGCCATTTTCCTGAATAATCGGATGTTTACGGAATTATAATGCCGCAGAAATTTATACTCAGGTGAAAAGATTTCTCTTGATGACTGGACAGATTTTTAGCCTAATACAGTGTCAGAACATCCGCATGTCGGATCGCGTTTTCTTGTAGATTTCAATGGTGACATATTCAGTTGGTTCTCCTGTTGTTCAATAATTTCAAGAAATTGGATAAAATTTTTTTTATCAATTCGAAGGTACCAAGGATATTTGCACAGAAGAAAGCCGCACTCTATTTGCAGTTTTGGCATGAAACTGAGCCCAAAATCAAATGAATAACACCTGTCTTTCCATACAATACTGCGCGCAGATGATGGAGAAAAACTCTAAGAAGAGAAGCGCATAATTAGCCTGTTCAGAATTTCGCATTGGAATACTGTACGTTTCTGGAGGCGAACTCTCTCAACAACAATGTTGTTCGCAACGATTTTCTTTATAGTGCGAAGAATTAATTTGTGATTCCATAAGGTTCTTCCTCCCATTTCATAAGGCTTTTTTATAACAAAATTTTCTCAACAACGCATTTTTTTTTCTGGTTCCTTGAATTTCTTTCTTGAGAGAATCCACCTGTAGTAAGATTTATTGTCAGTTTTTGTGTAATTAATACGCTGAATTAGTTCAACGCAAAGACATTTTGAGAAAATGTTAATTTTCCGAATTTGTAGAAATCCAGTATTCTATCTTTTGATGAAGCAGAATTGAAAAGGGGATTTTTTAGATTCGCACTGATTTTAATTTACTTCGACAGGTACGGGACAAAAACGACTCCCGGCAATCTGTCTCTGCCTGCGACCACGAGATGGCTCCAGTGACACATTGTGGGCACGAGTCTGTACAAAAGCCTCCTATCGTCACCATCACCCATGACCGTGCTGATTGGGAAGGTACTCTTATGAAGGATGATGTTGCGCATTAGGTCCAGTTGCTGCTGGAATTGGTGATGAGGAGTGGCCAGGAGACTGGCCAGCAGCCCAAATGCCCCAAAAGTCACGATACTAGCCTGTGTGCGTGTGAGCAGGGCAAAGTCCACGTCCCAGCGACCCGTGTCGACCAGCACTGACCGGATTTGAAAGTTTTTGTGCCAACTGCTCCTGTTGTTGGTTGACCGATCATCATCACCAGTCGTCATCAAGTTTTTCCTGCACCACTCTGGGTCATCGGTGACGACTAGCACCACGACTCGTTGATGGGGCTGCTGTTGGCCTGTTATTTTTTCGCGATTGCTTTTCGTAAAATGTGTTCGCAACAAGTGGTGGACCGCTGCCCAGATCTGTGGGCCACTGGGGTAGCCGTCGTCATCCCCGTGTTTTAACTTGTTTTGGGACTGAATGTTGTATGATGAGTTGCTGTCGTGATTGGCAACGATGAGACGTCGCACATGCGGCAAGTAGTCGGTGCGTCGAATGTGGATCCCGATCAAGTAGGGGTCCTTCTGCTGCTGCTGCTTTAAAGGAGAGGATTGGGCAGGTGTGACGGTCTTTTGCTCTTCCTCCTTTTTTGTTGTGATTATACTATTGACCCGCAACCAATTGTCTGCTTCTCGGGCCACCTGCTCACGCAACGCAAACAGTCGCGTGAAGATGTCCCAGTTGCGCACGAGGCCCAACTCGTCTGTCGGCCACGTCTCGAGCCACACGTTATTATTGTGGCCAGTGATGATGGGCTCCTGCTGATTCATGTGGACCAGGACCCACGGATTGGCCCTTCGGCACTTGGCAAACAGTCGTCGTGTCTCGACGAGGTCATCGTCGTCCCAGCCGGAAAACACTGTGTTTAGCAGCTGGGCCTTGGCCTCAGGCACGATCGGCAGCATGTGAACGACCGCTGTTGTCCTTGAATCATCATCTCTGGCCCGCGTTCTTCTTTTGTCGTGGTAATCTCGCATGAACGAGTACAAGAGGAATGTTTGGACCATTACGTGCGCCAAACGTCCGTCATCGTTGGATTCGAAAGTGGCAAACCGGACTTGGGAGCAATTTTGGGGCCATTTACTCCTGCTGCAGGTGCTGTTTGTCCTCCAGCACAATATTTCATCGTCAACTTCGGTCAAGTAAAACGCCAATGAGGAGGAAGAAGTGTTTGTGACTGATGTATTGAATAATAATGACTGGGATTTTACGACACTGTTGTGCTGCACGTCATTAAACGGAACCTGGCCTAAAGGAGCAGCTGGTGGATTGACAACATGAATGTGATGGTGGGAATGTCCGTCATGAGACGTCGAAGAGTGAAACAGGCCTCTGACAATGACGATCAGGAAGATGATGACGATGACAACCACGACCACTGACACTAATAACCAGCAAATGAACACTTGCCACCGTCGATGACGCATTGTTTGGTCATACAATCTTATCATTGGTCTACTGCATTCAATGGAGAAGAAAAACAGACCAAGAAGGTGATGAAAATATAATGTCGTACAGTATTTACTTGAGTACCATGTGACCTCAAGTACGACACGCACCAAGGTTTTTCAGTCTAAAATTTCAATGAAATTGTATCCCCAAGTATGACGCGCACCCCATTTTTAGTGACCATGAAAATGCAATATTTCAACACCCAAGTGTGAATTCCGATATGAATTGAACCTGAATCCAACTACTGTACAGTAATTTTCAATGGATTTTATAGATAAGTTTTTCTCACAAGATTCGTTCAAAATAACCCATGAGAATCAAATAAAGGTGGACTCTCTCTACAACCATCTTGTCGTCAACAACAATTTTCTATGTAAAAAAATAAAATTGTTGGTGGTCTATCCCCATGTTATACAAGTTCTCTACAACAAAATTCTCTCTACAACAATTTTTTTCTGGTCCCTTGAGATTTTTTGTTGAGAGAGTCCACCTTTATAATGCATAGCTAAACCTGTAATGCTTATTGGAAAATGTAGAACTGCCTTTGACGCTCACCCCCTGTTTTCTTTGCAATTTTTAGGAAAAAGGTGCACGTGGTACCAGAGGAAATACAGTGCCACCCACCAGTATTGTCACATTTACTTGATTACCATGCACACTTGAATAAAGAGTTTTATATTTTTCTGCCTGCAATTTTGGAAAAAATCCTATCCCCAAGTAAGATGTGCACCCCATGTTTAGAGGCTGAAAGACTGAAAATATTTCAAAAATGACAGACACCAGAAATTGAATTTTTACATGCATTCAACCTAAATTTACTTTTCAATTACTTTGATTCAAAAACTGTTCCTTTCAAAATTGGTCAAATTCAGAATAAAACACTGTGCACACAGACTTCTGAAAAATTTTGAACATTTATTCTTGCCTGTGCTTTACGCCCTCCTTTTTTCTTCTCAAGTTTGTGAAAAAAGGTGCGTGTGGTACTTGAGTGAATATGGTATTTACTCTCTCATCTCCCACTGAGAGGAAAAAAGCTGAATCAATTTGTTCAAAAATATTTCATATATTGTGTACATTATATGTAGATATGCACGTTGGAACAAATTGAAGGAAGGAAATCAGTGATAAACAAGATCAATTGGATGAACGTTTAATTCGAACTCTTTTTTCCTTCTAATTATTTTTTAAAGAATTTAATTTCAGTAAATTACAGCATTTCCAAGATTCCTTTCCTCTAGATGCGTTGCAGTACTGACGCCTCATCTCCAATCCCATCATCAAGAGGTTGAACAAATTTATTTTCCCACGCTGTTTAAAATATTGTATAAACTGCATTCTGTTTGATGGCTTAATTGTTCTAAAGGATTTGAAACTAGCGAGTCAGCCTTCATTTTGCTACTCAGTTTTGTCAGGGTTAATGACAATAGAATAACTTTTTTTGCTTGCCTGAAACAGAGACACATGTGCGTTAAATATCATGAGTGGGCTTGCTAATATTTTGGTCCTTCTCTCACCCGCAGACTTTTTTTTAGCGGAGTTGCGAGCAGCTTGGACCAAAACATCGACAAATATTTGCACCCGGAAGAGGTCAACATTGCAGAACGCATTCTATCTTGCATCGAAAAATTGAGATGAAGTTGTTATCTTCCGTCATCCTGTTTGGAGTATTTCTCAAAAGATGATGATTAAAAAAAACCCTATTTGAGTTCTTCTCTTGTGACTTTTTAATTTGTCATTTGGCGAACGTGATCACTATGAAATCGATTTTTCAATTTTGTTTTTCAAGATGGTTGATGTGAAAGTGATACTGGACCAGCTGGTGTCTGCCGGGGAAGGTTAGTTCGTTAAATTTTTCTTCAATGCACTCAAGGTTTGCTGTTTGTCAAGGAATTTGAATTTTTACTATTTGATGGCTTGTGAAGTTTCCTGGAGTGTGTGTCTTTCTTAAAATACAGTCGAATTCCGTAAAAACGAATCGCATTTTAGCGAATTAAGGCCTACAACGAATTTATTCTTTTCGTTCCCTGTCCAATATAGCAAGAGTTACACAATGCTGTTTTAATTTCGTTTCAACAAATTTGTCGTTATAATATAGGTATTTTTACTTGGTCCCAAACGCTTAGTTTTAAAGAGATTCTACTCTATTGTTTTTCCTGTTTCTTTCAAGTCGATTCCGAGTTCATTGAGTCAACGATCAAAGGCTTTAATTTCCTTCGTGATCAGCGTAAAACTTGGCCCAACACCTCATTTTTATTTTTAGAAAATGTTTGACTAAGAGAATACTTGAAGTGAAGTTTATTTTCTCTCCCAAGTGCATCCATCATAAGCATACAGTTTTAAATTTCATTAGCTTTATTTCGATTTATTTACAGATTCAAGTAGTGGATTGGAGAACCTCGTCGTGGAACTAGTGAATGATGGCATTCATGTTCAGCTTTGCTCTCAAGCATTAGAGAAAAATGATGTCGACAGGATGATCCTTGCCAAAGTACTTTCAGAGTTTGCAAAAACAACCTGTGGCAGAGAAGCATTAGTGAAAGAAGGCGGAGACAGTCTCGTGCAATATTTGCTGATGGGTGTGGGTCTTGACATGACAAATGAGGAAATTACGGAGTCTTGTCGAGCCCTTGGGAATTTGTGTTACGAATGCGGTACGTATTTGAGTATCAACAATGCGAAGGCATTTTTTGGTTCTTTAAATGGGACACTATTTTTCATGATTTAAATTTGTTTACAGATGGCGCCAGGGAGCTTGTTTTGCGCCAGGACGGACCGAAGATTTTCCTGAAGGCTCTCAAGAATGTGTGTGATTCTGAGAGTATCGAAAGTCCGTTTCTCTTCGTATTGCTCGGCTGCGTACTGAATTTTGTTTGCGATTATGACCCTGCAATTACTGAGGTATTTTAATTTTAAACGCGACCCACTGAATGTTTTTCAAAGCTCTTGCTTTTTTCTTCCAGGTTGGAGAGGAATATCTCTCGTATTTTAATCGCATTCTGAGTTCTGATCCAGAAGGAGTGCACAAAGGCTGCGTGAACCGGATTCTCACAATTTTATCCTGCTTGGCAGAAACAAGTTCGTCAAGTTGATTTTTTGACTCGATAAATGAGAATTTTTTACGTAAGCTGAATTGGAGACTTCGCAAAATTTGGCAGGGATTTTAGATTCAGAAGATACTATTCTTATTCATGTAATCTGTCATTTTCTCCGTTTTTGCCCGCAGAAGATGGTGCCCATGATCTCTGTCAGCACGAGTGCTTCCGTCGCTGCCAGGAAATCGTAAAAGCTACGAATTCTTTTGACGTTTTTGAAAATGCCGTGAATGTCATTTGCTCTGTGATGCATTCAGGTGAGCTCTTTTCGTCGGTTTTTGCGTTCGATTTAATAGTTCGGGGTGAATTATGCTGAAGAGCATCTGAAATCGCTGCTATTTCTTGGAAGAATTCCTGGAGAGAATTCCTTGATTTGATGCCTTATGCGAAAAGTACTTTCGTTTTCGCGTCAACATTTCACTGCCAAAATTTCTCAAGTTTTTCTTGAAAATATTAATGTGGCCTGACGATGTTTCTGACAGGATCCCCTTAGTTTTTGTCGAGGTTTTTTTCTGTCTTTCACATCTAAAAGCCAAGCCCACGTTTGCACAGGAGCCCATTGATTTTTCACATTCATAGAAAAATAAATTTTAATGACGTCATGTGCGGTACAGTATTTTAGTGAATGTGGAGTGTTTATTCGCGGGGATTTTCTGTACTTTTAATTATTTTCATAATAGAATAATGATCAATTAATTTTTTATTTGGATAGTGTATTTCTACTAGAATATGCTCAAGTCATGTGCATTCATTTTCACAGACGGACCTCATTGCTCAATAGATTGCGTCCTCGATGTTTTTCGATGCTTGGTGACGTCGTTGGACAGACAGGAAAGCTTTGAATGGTGTGAAAATGTGGAAGATTTTGTGGAAAAGCATAATATGCGTGCCTCAGTTTGCGATACGATCGCAATCATGATTTCTAGGGGTGAGTCGACTTTTATTCATCGCTGAATTTTTGCAAGTCTGGTCAGATCTTGTTCAGTTGAGGCGACACCTATCTGAATTCAAGAGAATGAAGTCGGCCTGGAAATGGAAGATCTTCGGTGTTACTCAGAAATATAATGCGAACCCTACATTCTGAGATTCATTGAAAGTCCTGAACAGAGCATAAGTAAATTTCATTCATTCAAGTTTATTGACTGCTGGGAAACCAATTGTGTCCGAAGCCCGAGGTTACATTTTACTGTAATTATTAGCGTAGACTCGTAGGAATTGCAACCGTGGTTGAACCACCATTTTGTTGATGTTGATCTGGAAGGATGAATCCAACTGCGTAAGAATATAAAACACGATGTTATTTTCAATATAAAATAACCTTTGATAAATAAAATACCGTATAACGGACACGATCCATGCAGCCTAAATTTGTTTTTTGACATTTTTCCTATTCGGCATTTTTCTCTAGACGATGTTGTGGACCAATTATTTTCTGACGGCACCGGCGAGGTTTACGACAGAGCAAAGGAGTGGATAGATTCTGAAGAAGAGCACGTTCGCTTAACTGGATGCCTCATCATTGGCAACTTAGTTCGAAATGGTAAGACCAACGTGAAGATCGAACATGACGAGGTTTTAATAATTAAAAAAAGAAATATTTTTCCATTTGTGAAAGATGTTGCCTGATTGATTTATCGTTAAATTTCTCTTCGAATTTTTCTAAAGATGCTTGTGTTCTTAAAATTCATTTGACTTTCTATGTAGATTTAAATTTAAAGGACTACATATGATGATCTTCTCAGTTAATAACCGAGATATCACTTTATGTGATTTTATAATCTAAAATGTTCGAATGAGAAAAATTATACAATTTTCCCTTCATCTGACGTTAACGAAAAGAATTTGTATAAAATGTCTACAGTATATTACGTACTTTCTTTGTACTTTTATGATGAATAATCTCAACACACAATGAGGCAAATGTCTAGGTTGTACCATGTAATTTATTTAATGTACAGTATCCAATAAATCTCAAAGGAAATTATTGAGTATTGGAAACATATTTACAGATGCTAGCGCGGAAAAGGTGTGTGCTGACGGAATTGTTGAACGGCTGATTGATTTCCTGAAGGAAGAAGCAACTGTTGGAAACATCCGGAGGCAAATCGTCGTCATCGGCGCTTTGAGGTGATGATCACTCAGTTGACTTACAAAGTCACATTATTCAAGGGCCTTCTAATAAGCTTTGTAAACAAGGAATTTTCAAAGGGAAAAAATCGGTGACCTCTTAGTTTTTGTCTCCCCAATTTTGTTGAATCAAAGTCATTGGATCTCTGACTGAGTGATCTTGAGACAAGATTCTACTACTGTAGTAGAAATGTGTAAAATGCAATGCGTGTCAGATGTAGGGATACCCAATTTTCTTCTCTCTGGTACAATCGATTTGTATTTACCTCAAAAATATGTGGGAATTTTCAAAGTTGTCATCAAACGTTACCTCCAGTAACGTGTAATGCCTACAACATTTATTGAAAGGCCCGAAAAATGTTTTAATCACATTTTTGAAATTCTGAAGAAAAAAAAATGATGAATGGTGTATTTTCTGCAGGAATCTTTGCGTATCTGTCCAAAACCGCGGGACTATTCTCGAACATGATCTCATTGCCACGTTGGCGCCATTCTTGCAATTTGAGTCTGTGGATGTTGTGTTCAAAGTCTGCTCCTGCCTGAGGCTCTTGATCGACTCTGCGGGACTCAAGTATTTCGCTTGTATCCTTGAAGATGCGGACATTCTGAAGTCCCTCATCAAATGGACCAACTTTGAACTGGTGGTACATGTTCAGTCCGAGGCCGAACGCGTTCTTGCGACCATTTTGAAGAGTATTCACGTGAGTCACTTTCTTAATTGTTTTTCTTGAACAGGGTTTTTCCAAGTGAAGACCTGTTTTCTTAGTATTGCGAGAAAAAACTCGAGAGCGAAAGAAATTCGAATGTTAGCTTAGCACCGTTTTTATTCATGTATGCCTGAAGGGTATTAAATTTTACATTAGCTTGAATGTCTTTCGGGTATTCAAGCATTTTTTTTTTAATAAATATTTGCTACCATGTAGAAGATATGAGGAGTTCAACAAATGTTCTAAAGATAGAAATTGATACTATAATTTGGGAGAAACAGTCTTTTGCACACACAAAAATCAAGCCCTGTTTAAAATTAGAAAAAGTTTGCAGAAGTATTCTTACTCTTCACTTAAAGGCTGAGGCACCCATCTCGCAAATTATCTTGTGTAGTCCAACTTCTCTTGCGGAATTCTTGGAATCGACATCAATTCCGCCATTTTCATCAACAGAAAATTTGCAATTATAATTGAGCGGCTGCTAGTGAAAAAGGCGTAATAACCTCGGAAAACCTGGAGACCAATAACCTGGAGACCAATCTTTGGAATGAATGCCATGTCGATTTCAAAAATTCTGAAGTTGAACTACATCAGAAAATTGAAAAAAAATGAGCGCCTCATCTTTCAATTGAATAGCAGGAAGACTTTAGCAAGACAGTTTTGTCTTGCTAAACACGCCACGCCAACAGGGCTGAATTCTTGTTTGCCAAAGAATATTTTTTCTGAGCAATAATCATATGCCGTAACAATTTGTATTCCGAGAACATCCAAGTCAATTCAGAAAATTTTAATAAAATTATTTAAAACTAATTGTTAGAATCTTTCAGCTGCACTTCAGTGAGAACTGTCGTCTTTCATCCACGATTTAACATGAATATAATTTAGTGGTCATAAAATGAGAAAATCTTACTAGAACTAACCACCCCCCCCTCTTGTTTTCCCTACCACAGAAAGACCATGAAAGAGCCATTGAGAAGAATGTGAAGGGGTTACTTACATCGTTACTGCAAGCAAACGGGATTCCACCATTGGTGCATTTGTTGTCAAGTGAACACGCTGTGATGGTTAACGAAGCTGTGGTAGCTCTGAATGTGATGGTCTCCTTTCTGGGAGAGGTTGGTGTCCAAGTACTTATCGGGATTGAAGATGGAAGAGTTGTTCAGAGACTGGTTGCCATTGTGACGGAAGACAAGTTCGCACCCGAGATTATTTGTAACTGCTTGACTCTCACTGAGGCGCTGGTTAAAAGTGGTAAGTTCTTTAGTTATTTGGCAAGAATGTACGTTCATTTAGAATAATGTTGCTTTCTTTCTTCTCAGGAACTTCATTTTCGGAAAAGGTTGCCGAAGGATTGAATGAAATTCGCAAAAAGGCAAAAAATCATTCCAACCCATTGGTACGGAATTCCGCTGCAGTTGTCTCTTGAAGAGGTTGTACGTATTGCAATTCAGTTATTTGACACAATTTTGGAACATATTGTATTTCTAGGGATTCTTTTGAAGAAAAGATAATATACTGCTTAACAAAAATTTGGTTTAATCACATTCGGTGCTTCTCACAATAGGTGGTAACATACAGTACATTCTAAGTTTGTGACATTCAAAGATAAATTTTGCAAACATTTAGGGGAATGTGTCATTCAACTCAGGAATAAGTTCGCCTGTCAAATTAATATATTTCCTTCAGAGAGCTACATTAAATTTTCTCCAATAATTTAAATAACTATTATTTACTAAGATGGGACAGGTGAACAGTTGAATGCAAATTAAAATTTTCAATATTGAAAATTTCGTTTAGAAGAAGAATCTGCATATCTCTGAATAGTAAAAACTTTTTAAATCATCAAAGCACAGAATATATCAACTCTATGTGACGAATATATAATAATCTTCCTAAAACGGGTAGAGGGAGTTATACAACTTTCCCCAAATAAGTTACCGAAGGATAAATATCTTTTAATTCTGGCCATTGTACTATCACATCATCTGTAAACCACCTAAGCAACTTTCCACTTAACGAAAGTGATTTAACTCTACATATACTCTCAATGAATGTAATCCTGCAAGTTAACAGACGAAATAATCTCATTAACCAAGCTACACAGCACACTGGTAAACATGTCCCTGGACCATTCGCCAAAATTACTTCCGGTCTTTCCCTCAATAAAAACGGGATACACCAAAATAGGACGTAAAGAGTCGAGAATACAGCAGAAATGTAAGATTGGCCAACTTCCCTGGCTCTTGGAGTAAGTAGGATGGAATAATCTGGAGTGTGTAAAGAACCGTAAACGGACACTCTTCTCTTCTTTAGATCGCCATATTTGATTTCGTCTTCCAGCTTCCCAGGGCTGAGTGAAGTCACACGGTTTTCACCACCTAAAAGAAGAGGGTAAGGATGTAGTCAGTTTGGTTACTGGGAGGATAGAACTTCACTTGACAATTTGATATTAGCAGTTAATATTATATGTCAAACCTCTCTAAGTCAAAATCGACTTTGAGAAGATAAAGTTGGGGAAACGATGGGAATATTGCAGGAAATTATAAATGTGGATAGCTGAACTTGGAAGCAGAGTTTCATTTGCCTTACAAGTTTTTTACTTCCCTCCAAAACACATCAAATTACTTTTCTTTCCTGCATCAATAAAAAGCCAGAAATTTATGGTAAGATTGAAGGGAATCATTTACGTGAGGAAGTGTTTTCAATGCATCATTTCTAAAAATCGCAACTAAGGGAGGTACATGCAATTCTGAAACTCGCAGTTTACATAACTTTGCTCCATTTTTATGTCAAATTTCAACTCTTAACTTATTGGAAATATTTTTGTCAACTATAGTGTAATATTTTAGGATATGGGACTGCAATATGAGTTTTTCGAATTAACTTAGCTCAGAATATCAGATTTCAAAGATGAAATTACACACCACATTTCTTCCAGTGGTAGTCGTCCTTCTGTACCCAGTTAATTGTACATTTATTTTACTCAATTTTTTTGAACCACTTATCATTAATGAATAATTAAAAAATACACACTGGAAAAATCGTTCAGAAATTTGCATCATTTTGAACAGCAAGTATACACTACAATTACATAAACGCACCTTCATGAACCACACTATCTCGACGTGGACGTTCATACTCCAGAGCTTTCTCAGCACTCCGAGGATCGGTCAAAGCCACCAAATAGACCCGAGGGTTGTACTTCTTCTTGTCCAAAGCCGTCACAAGCCGCATCATTTCAGAAGTATGGCCGCCGGAGCCCAACACTATCAAAGTTTTCTTCGCGCACACTTCCATCTTCTATCTCACTGAACACGAACCTGCATAATAAAAAAGCGGAAAGATTTCGAATAAATGTAGAAATACAAAAAATCACTGCTTAAACACCCCGCAGATTCCGTCCCCCTGTTCGTCAACGTTTCGAATTGAAACAAATCCTTGATCAGGGGCTCCAAAAACGGCTCAATCCGATGCAAACGCTTCGTGATCCTTTCAAAGAGAAACAAAACGAATAATTCAGGTCAGACACTGACTATGAATAAAAAAGGAAATATTATAAAAATTACGCAAGACACGAGTGAAAAAGCGAACGAAGAAATGCGTATTCCTTTTTTTTGAGAAAGCTTTGTTCCGGTTTGCTTCAAAAATTTGTTTTTCTAAGTTTTATATTTTCATTCGCTGGCAACGCGAGAGATTTCCTTCATATTCAAAGTTCTTCCTTGGCTCCCTTGGGCTTTTCGCCAATGGGGTAATCAAAATCAGGAAACTCGGGTTGCTGGGTATCTTCAGCCTCAGTCAGGTCAGGTTTGTCCTCCAGACCCCATTCCTTAGCTTGCTCCTGGGATTCTTCCTGTGTCTCATCATCTCCCTCACCCTCTGCTTTTACGGGTTCACCTCGGGTCATGCTTTGGAATTCAGACATTTCTTGGTCAAGGTTCATGGAGTCTTCTTCATTGTCAAAATTGCCCTCGAGTTCTTCCTGCAGCTTCTCAGCTTCGTCATTCAATTCGCGTTCGCGTTCCATCCTAGGGCGCCAGGTTTCCTCTCCTGAAACATAGAAACAGTGGTACACATACCATCACTGGTGGTACCTGAAACCACGGTGTCACAAAAAATACAAATGGCTTCTTAACAGACAAGAGAAAAAAAATGGTCATATTATCCAGATAATTCTTTGAAACTCATTTTAAAATTTCATGCGCAGAAACCATGGGGTTTGAGCCATCTTTCAAAGGAGAATCCAGTGAACTTGCACCCAATGATATGATTGATGATTTTTAATGACCTCTAGAATTATTTATCGAGTAAAGGTTGACTCTCACCAAGAATCTTGTACACAAAGATTTTTTCTGCACAAAAATTACAGGTAGACTCTCCGTATACAGAAAAATTCAAGAGACGAGACCATTTTTTTCAGAGAGACTTTCGCTTTAGAGAACCCCTAAACATAGTAAGAGAACCATACAGGAACAAAAATTCATTTGTGTTACATATGACAGTGTTGTCGAGTATGTAGACTACGCATACAGAGTGCACTCACATTTTTTTGGTCCCACAGAGCTCTCTCCCCATATATGTATGGGTTCTCTACAATAAAATTAATTTTTCCTCAACCCTTTCTTTTCGTTGTAGAGAGTCAAATTGCACAGATTTTTTGAGATTGTTCAATATTTATGGGTTTCTGTAAGCTTGAAATATTGGCCTTCAACATTACAAACCAAGAATTCCTGATTCAGGTGACTGCAAAAGCTGATCTTCAAAATTCGATTAGATCAAAGATTAGTTAAATGCTATATCAGATAACCACAGATCATTCCATCAATTCAGATTTTTAGAAATGAAACGCGTATAAGAAGTCAAGAGTGAGCTATTTTCAAGTATTTTTCAGATTGAAAATTTATACCCAATTTTCTGGCAAGGTTGGCGTCGTCCGTCAGCAGGATGTTGTCAAAAATTGAGCCAGCTTCAACTTGCCAAACTTCCAGTCCAACCGCACAAATTTCCGGAAAAGTGTACAAAGTCGAATCCGGTTCGTACTCCGGATTGGGGATCTTCGGTGGGGTCCATTTCCCATCATATGCCGGGTTCTTCATCTGCTGTGGGGTCCAAGGACCCTGATAGACCGGGTTCTCAATCATGGGAGGTTCCCAAATCCCATCAATGGCTTCATCCCAGTCGTCGGGCTTCAGGGCATCAGGGTCGGGAACATACTGTAGAAAGAACGCATCACTACATTACAGTACAGTAATGTAAAATACAATACAATAATTTTTTTTAAAATTACAATGATTCTTACATAAAAATTGTGAAAATTAGTTAACAAAATTTTACAGACATCAAAATTTACGAATTGATCACACATACTTCGAAAAACGAAACATTGCCAAACTTGAATCATCAGTTATGATTTTTGCGTTTTATCGCGAATTTAGTAAATTCGCAAAAAAATGAAAGCATTTTTTTAAATTCACAAGCAAATTCAGATATTAGCGTAAAAAATACATTAGAGCATTTTTTTTTCCAGTAAAAAAAAAAAGTTGTGAGTTGCAATGGGACATTGATATATCACCAGAAAGTAATTATTATTGGGGGATAATTTAATAAATTAATTATTTTTAGGGGAAAAAAGAATGACAGGTAATTGTACTTGATAATCTATGCCTCAATTTATTTTTCAATTAGTTCAAAGGATGCTGAATTTGAATGTACAAGTAGGTTCAATAGTCCATTCAGTCTTCAAATTTTTCCAAAACACATGAAGTTACATTTCTATTATTTTCCTCTTCCCTGCTTTGATAAAATAAAAGCCAAAAAGCGTCCAAAAATGTGAGGTAAGGTTTTCAATGCATTGTTTATAAAAGAAGAGACAGAGCTTGGAAAAACTCGACACAGGGAGGTTCAAATTATGAAGGTCCAGCAGCAGTAACTACCTTTTCTTCTACCCAATCTTCGGGCTTCAGCGACGACGGGTCATCAATAAATTCTCGGTCATCCCACAATTCGGGTTTCTTCGCTTCTGGGTCATCGATTTTCATGGGTGGAAGAATGCCGAAATCCTGATCAATCGTTCCTCGTTCAACCCTCCGATTGTCAATCAAGACTTCAAAACTGTTGTCAGGTCGCAAAATCAACGTGTACTGATGCGTAAGCTTGTCCAATGGATACCTGTCATACGACACATTCACAGAAAAAGATTCAGATGAAAATTTGTAATTCGGAAAATACGTCGATTCAAGCGTGGGTAGAACCAACATTTTTATAGAACTCAACCAAAAAAGGAATGGATCGAGTGTTCAGATGATTCATTGGTACAGTAATTCTAAAAATAAGTTACCATTTCTACTCGAGTAAGACGCCCAAGGGGATTTTTCTGTGGAAAATTTTGATAAAATTGTTTTCTGGCCAAGATGCGCAACCCTTTTCAGTGGTGGCTGTAGAACGGCAATATTTAAAAAATAATAACACCCATAATTAAATTCGGACCTAAAAGAATAATTTTCAATTGTTTCCTTAAAACTATTTTTTTCTGTTTAAATAACTTGATCCAACATTTATTTTTGTAATCAAGTACAATATAATGCTCACCAAAAATAATTTCTGAAACTTCAAAAAAAAAAATGTATAATCGTGCAAGACTCGAATCCTTCAAAATTCGCGCAATTTTATCTGTTCAACTTGATCCAGAATTATTTTTGTAATCAAGTGTAATGCTCACCTGAAATAATTTCTGAAACTTTTTCAAAAATGTATAATCGTGTAAGACTCGAATACCTTCTTTCCCCCCTCTTAAATTTGAGAAAAAAAATGCGCGAATATTACTCGAGAATTAAATATGGTGGTTGTTCAAATCGCAAAAATTACTTGAGATGTCGCTTCAGCGGGAAATTGGAGCCGCGTTTCGCCAAAATCACGTGCAATCGGCGGTGTTCCGGCCCGCAGATATCTGGCCCGAACATGACGAGATATTCCGTGTCCGGTCCGAATTCACTCTGTTCAAATCCGCAGCTGAGCAACTTTAAATAACTTCCCCCGCAACGCATTATTTGCTCATTCTTCACGTTGAACTGGAACACGAAATCCCGACCAGCGTTGGAGAAGGGCGAAAATTTGGCAGAAACGGCGTAGTGCCGAAAATCTTCCGTGGTGCGGATTCCAATGTCAACGATGTCGTCGAGAAATTTGTCTCCATGGGACAAGTTGAAAGATCCATATCCGTCTCGATTTGCTTCATTTCATAAAAAATAAAATAAAATAAAAAAATCGGCAAGAATTTCGGAGGCGCACAAAAATATGAAGTATCTTATGATGTATCCCCGGACAATTTCTCTCCGACTTGCAAATAACTGCGTGAAACTATAAAAAAATAACAAACTTTACGAATTATCAGTTGGAAATTTTTCTGAATGTCGTCATTGTAAAAAAAAATTAAACCAACACTGTTGGAAGAACTTCAGTAATTTTTCAAAATTTAGTAAGGAAGAATTAAATTTAAAACACAACTTGAAATTTCAACACACAAAATTGACATGAGGTAAAAAAAATAATTTTAAACCCAACATGCACAACTCGAATTTTCTAGAGACTATCGTTTTGTTGACACAGGTGAGAAAAAAAATAAAAGCGCAACTCGAGAGTTTTGAAAAAAAAATTAAATAATAATTTGACAAGTGAATTCTTGACTCCAAGTTCAGCATTCTGTAACTCATTTGAGAAGCAATTCAAGGCCCAGAAAATCACTAATTAAAATTTTCTGAAATTATTCTTTCACTCCCAGAACAAAAGTATTTTGTTTCCCCAACTCGAATATTTTTTCGCTGAACCCTTCAAGTTGACGAAGAGGTTGGACTGAATATAAAAATTATGTTGCTGTCCTCTTGACATTGATGTAATTTTAAGGGTTCGAATCTTCGAAATAAACCCTGTAACACTCAGGAGATGTCGAGAAAACAAGAACGGGCCCTTTTCCATCACTCAACATTTCAGCACGCCAAAAGTTCAACTCACCGATCGTCCAACGTTTTGCCCAGTTTTCCCCATCGTCGAAAGATTCTGCAAAATAGATTTCCGCGGAACAGCCTGCAACAACTGCCAGAATAAAAATCGCAGCGATACTCCGCATTTTTCTCAATACCGTCGCTTAAGGAAACAATGGAATAATTTGCAATTCATTTACATTACATGCTATCANAAACAATGGAATAATTTGCAATTCATTTACATTACATGCTATCAAAAGCTCGAAGAAATTCCATGGGTTCTCCGTGTGAAACGAAGAAACCTTCGTGTGGTTTTCCTCGGCGATTCATGAGGATATTCTCTCCAAATTGAAACTTGGGGCTGTTTTTGATCTGTGCAGGAAGTTTTGCTTGCCACGTCGAAGAAAACATTTTTGCAAGGCATCTGATTTTCGTCAGCCAAAGATTATTTTCATTTTTCCTGTAACACACGAAACATTTCCATAATGATTCTTATTAATTTTCCCCGAGAGGCAGATCGATTTTTGTCAATATTTCTGTAAATTCCGAAGCCCATGTTGAGGAGACAGTGGATGATAGAAGAGGCATTAATAACTTGAGAAGGAAGACCAAGGGTTTTCATAAAGGCGTTAAAATTTCCTCATTCTCAGTTTATTTGAACCACCTTAATTCAACTTTTTTAGTTCGAATTTAACAAGTGCAAAAAATTGAAATGATGCAGTATTTCAACTTCTTCCAACAAGCAAAACATTCTGTAGAGATTTAGTGTTCAAAAACATGCACATGATCTTGGTAGTGTTCAAGCCCCACTTCAAAATGTATGTCTTTCTTTAAAAAAATAATTTTTAAAATAATGTTTCTCTATTTGAAAGAACAAATAGGTATGAATTAACAAGATTCAGAAGGAAAAACAGTTTTCCTTTCGCATGCAATACTTTTGCTTCATTTTATGTTTTAAAACATATGACACTTTAGCAAGGCAGGTTTAATGAAAGAAAAGTATGGTCTGTTGTACAATTTCATCCTAACCTTTTCTATAAATTTCTTCAGATACACTTGAAAATATGACAGGACTTGAGAATTACCTGTTTTAGAAGTGCTTTGCAGTATTCATTACCCATTTCCCACAAAAATTTCTGTCTAAAATGAGTTAGAAACCATGAATCTCAATGGAAAAGTTTTTAATTATAACAACATTTCCATTAGGTCCCTGGAAGTTTTTTGTGAAGAGAATTTACTGTATAGTATTTCAGCATTGGCAAAGATGGAAAAGTATGGTTCTCAAGTGAAAAAAAAATCACTGGGGTACTGCTCTGGATGATAGTAACTCACCTGGACAAACCCAATCAACTTCAAAGAGTACTTTGTGCTGTTGCCATTCTTGGTTGAGTGTAACTGAACTCCAAACTGAGGAGGGACTGTGGCATGAGTAGCAATGATATTTTGCCTGAAAAAAGACCATGATCAATATTCAAAAATTCACACCTCACAAGAGAAAATCACTGATGAATCTGCTACATTTATTTAACTGTAAAGGCAGTATATGAATGTATACCTTCAAGAACTACACTGTGTTGATGTGGATGTTCATATTCCAAAGCTTTCTCATTACTCCAAGGATCAGTCAAAGCCACCAAATAGACCCTAAGGTCGCTGTTCTTCCTGTCCAAAGCAGTCACGTCACATTCCGCATCATTTCAAAAGTATGGCCACCATAGAGCCCAACACTATCAACGATTTCTTTGAGCACACTTCCATTTTTTCCACCTCATAAAAACCACCTGGATAAAAAAAATCGGGACATTTTAACAACAATTGGACACAACACAAGATATCAACAAAGACAAAAATTTTAGTGAATAAAACAAAAGAACACTATTTCAACACCCTGCAGTTTCCCTCTTTTTCCTGTTGGTCCGCGTTTCAGCTGGATCAAATCCTTGCTCAGTGGCTCCAAAAACGGCCCAATCCGGCGTAGGAGCCATGTAATCCTTCAAAAAAGATTGGAAACAAATTATGCCGGCCAGACACTAACATTATGAATCAAAAACGGGATATTTTGAAGGAAAAAGTGCTAAGTGATGCTTAGTCTCAAGAAAAGCCTCTTATCAGAGAGTTCCCACAAAAACTTACTACTTCATAGAATTTCCATGTACAGTACAGTGGAATCTCATTACAACACATCTTATCTTGACAAATCATTGCTTAGAAAGAAAATTTTGTTCATGATTCCTGCAAAATAGCAACAATCTTTTGTTTTTAATGTCACAACAATTTATTGATACAGCAGTCTTCTCCAGGTCCTAATGGCTTCTTTGTCAAAAGGTTTTGCTGTATAGTACAAAAGTCATTCTTTTGTCTGTGAATCAGGAATACATTTAAAATTGCACCATTGCAATAAACTGATAATTCTTATAAATTATAATTTGATACACGAAAGCTAGTTTCTTCTTTCTCTGCCTAATTTGGTAGAATGCAAGCCAAAAAGAATGTAAAACTTCCTCTTCTGAACATTTTCAATACTGTACATGCACAGTACAGTACAGGAGTACAGTACTACATAAATAAAACATTGAAAATAATTTTCAAGTACAGTACAGAAATCAATGTTTCTTTGAGTCCAAATTGATTCATCCAGAAGTTCTTCAAATACCAATTCGGAGTTTCAAGAAATTATGAAATTTAAGAATCACCCAAAAATGCTAAAATATTCCAGTTTCAAAAATTTTACAGAATTCTCAACAGGATTCTCAACAGTCTTTTTCAGAGATCTCCAGTTAGTTCTTGTAAGAAATTTCATTGAAGAAATCTTACCTCAGAGGAAAATGCAAGTTTCCCGTCCGATTCATAGAAGCTCCTCATCAACTCGTGGAACTTCTCATAGTCAATCCATGTCATCCACTTCCCATCTCTGAAAAACTGCAATCGAAAAATATTTGTAGAATGAAAGTTACAAAATGAGTTGGTAACATTGTCTTGCCTGAATCCAATAGTACACCAAACAAAATGTACCCGTAACAAAGATGACGTGTAACAAAGATGACGTGTAACAAAAATGAAACGTAACAAGAAATCTTTGTAACAAAAAGTGCTGTAACGAAAAGTTGGTAACAAAACGTTTGGTAACAAATGTGTCCTTGTAACGAAAAGGCGCATCTACGAAAAGCCCGTAACGAAAGGTCGGTAAACCAAGAAATATATATCCTCATCATGAACGAAAAAATAAATTCAATCACCAACAGGTTTTCTTACTTTTTCTGTAAACTGACAGGTTGTCAAGTCGACAACTTTTTCCTCATGTGAACAGTGAAACACACAGAATTTTCTCCAATACGGTATCTCAAATTCAGAACAGCACAATTTACAGTGAAGCTTACGTTCTAATACCTGAGGTATTGAGGAAATCGGCACTTTTCGGCAGATTTCAGGGCTGCGGCCAACATTATCTTCAATACAATAAAAAAATTCAGTAGAAAATACACTCGATGTTGAAACAACTCAACAAAAAACGCAGAAAAACTAGATTAATCCTCCGGTGCGATTCTTGCCTGACTCATCATCATCATCATCTGATTCGATTTATTCATAATCATACACACATGTGCACAACTGAATTTTGCGGGATCTGTGCAACCTTCGGTACCGTAAATGCTATACAATTATAAAACTACTGGAGGAGATTTGATATAATTCCCAACCTTGTCCTTCAATGCTTTCAAGCTGTTGAGGAAGCGATCCCAGAAATCCCGGAAAAGTGGGCGATCGATACGCTTCAGCTCCTGCTTTGTACTGGCGTCCACGCTGACGTAAAGTTGCGTAACTGGGCTCACTGATCTGAAATAACCATTGAATAAAATAAATAATAAATCGCAAG